TATTTACGAAGCTGACCATTGTCAATTTGAAGAATAGTTTAATTTTTTAAAGTGTTTCTGTTTTTTTCTTTTGTCGGTTAATTTCTTTGTTATGTTTAAAGTATTATGACCGAAATACTTAACAATGCATTCAAATTGTTGCATAACGTAGCAATTATTATTGCAATCTTATATCAAAAAAAAGTTCCTTTTGAGATCCGTGATATATATATAGCCTTGGTGTTGCATTGGTCCCAAGTAGCGCGATTGATGCAATAGTATGTGTCGGCAAACAACAAGCATGATTGGCTATTATTATGTTAAAAACCTTTGTTCTCCGAATTTAAATCTTTTTTGAATGTATCACCAAATTGTATAATGTAGTTTGTTGTTGTATCTATAATTCATCAGTGAAGTATCTTATGTCAAAAGAAAATTGATTGTCTCTATACTGTAACTGATTAATCATTCTGAATTTGTTTAGTTGTTGTCTTTTTAATAAGTTTTTGCCTTTTTGGATGAATTTGTGAATTATGGAGAATAATGTCGAAAACTAGTCTTGTCAAAGAATAATTCGTATAATCTAGCAAAGAGTTACTTTTAATATAGATATTTCATTAAACTAAACTATATTTGATACTTCACATTTGCTCAGATATTTTCCACAAAATGAATCCCTTCCCGAAATATTAATCATATCCAAATTCATTTGTTACATATTATATAAGTAGAACTTTATACAAGTCTGTTTACTTTGGACAATTTCCAATTATTCAAGATTCTCAAAATATTAAATCGTAATTGGGGATGAGAATCACCATTAGAACCGCCCCATTAAAGATTGAAAATGGTTTGACTAAATTGTGATTAGTTAGATATGTTTAATACCGGTTTAAGTAGACGTGCGTTAATTAATTATTTAATTAGAGACAACGCAAGTCAGACTGACATGTCGCAGCTTCTATATGACTCGACGCTAATCATAGAATCATATTAAAGATTTAATAAGTAATCCTTCTTGAAAGAACTGTGACACTTTCACCAGAAAAAGGAATTTTGACACTGAATAACATAATCTGATAAAATATTTGATGACAAAGAATACGTTATCATTGATGAAACAAATTAATAAATACGTTATCAGTTTTTTCTTTTGTCAACGATAAATACGCATTATATGAGACATGAATCAGCTCATTTATATTTATGGTTGGATCGAATCTCAATTAGAGATTTGGCACTAAAAAGTCAGCTCGACCAAAGGGAATGAACTTTGCATAACTCATAAATATCTTAATAATTGACTTTTAAATTACGATTTTGTTTTATAGCCAGCATGGAACTACCTACTATCCAACGTATATCTGCCAATAGATGTGAAATTATAATTATATATTAAGCTCCACCATACAAAGTAATTAAATAACGATATAATCTTAATGCATATCCTTATTTCTTAATCTTTTACAATCATTTTAACTTGAAGATGATCTAAAACATAGAAAGGGTAAAGAATGTACAAAAAATCTGGTGAAATTTGCAATTCAAAGAGAGAAGTGTTTTGTAAGATTGTTTTAGTTGATTCACAAATCACAACTCTAATTGAATGTAGTAAAGTTTTTACATTAAAAGATAGATTCGAGATTTCGAGGTATTATCAATGAAAAGCAAAACGCTAAGAAAACAAAATCGTAACTATCAAAAAGCAGGCCCAGAAGGCTCAATACTAGAGAGGCTTGGTGTGTGATTTGAGTTGAGGTTCTTAATACCTAGTGTTTTTCTTTGGGCATCAGCCCAGAGCATTCACTTCACTGTTCGTTTTAGAAAATAGAAATGTTTGGAACCTAGTTAACAAAAAATTTTGTGAATTTTCAAACTATCAAGTTATCCTTACGGGTAATGGATCTAACCCCCACGTCGGTCTATATACAAGAGTTGACAATTACAACGACAACTTCATTAGTAAACGAAAAACAGATAATGATAACCAAAACAGAAAACTTCTTATAAACAACGATACCAAAATGCGATTATAGAAAGTGATTCCCAAAAAGGAAAGTGCTTTTTGTCAGACATAGAGAATCTTGCACCGATGACTAATGTTCATATTATACATATATATATATTAATTAATTAACTATGTAATTTGGTTAATTATTTTGTCAAATGATAGAGCCTCCATGCATTTATGTCGTATTAAGTCGCATCTAATTTTATATGTTAGTATGTCATAATCTAAATAAAAACTTATCCTTTAAGAGACATATATATATATATATATATATATATATATAGACTAATAGACGCACACATAATCTTAGCTGTTGTATAAAGTGCAGCCCACGGTTTGTAATCGTGGGCATGTGAATATTTTTATCATCTTGCTCGGCAATATTCCTCTGTCGCAACAACTATTTGCTTTCTTTTATATGAAAGTATTCATATTATGAACACTTTTTAGCTTACGAAACATAATATTATATTCTACATCATATTTGATCCGTCGCAGAATTGAAGTAGCAAAGCATTGAAATTATTTGCCCTCTGTTGTAGTCATCATTTTAACTTGAGCATCTGGAAATCGTTGGAATAAAAAAAAAGTTCAACAATATCTCTTTAATGTTATCAAATGTTTGAGCCATTGACCCATTGTTATACAAAATTTCACGTGAATGATGAGATTGGGATAATCAAGCTATATTGATTGATAGTACTATAAAATAAAGTGGATAAATGCAAGAAAATGAATGTATGGCGCAACTAGTTGGGTTCTGCTGAGACATAAAAAGGTGAGAGTTCCAAGGCAATTGGGTTGAGATCTCAGAAACCACAACACAAAAAGCTTTGGTTCTTTTGCTGTCTTTGCTTCCTTCCTCGCCACCTCATCGCTCCCATGCAATATTCCTATTTTTTTCTTCTTTTAATAATTGATAGTTTTGTAGATGACAATGCAAACAACAAAAGTAAATCCTTTGAAGACGAATCTTTCTTAGTATCAATGCAAAGTTTCTAAGTAAACTTGTTATGATGATATTTATTTCTACAAGTTATGTTTATATATGCTACCATTCATAGATATATACACTTATTTTCCCCCATATTATTTTAAAACTGCTTGTCAATAGATAACTTAACAAATTCTTATTTTATTTAGTAAAAATATATTAAGAAACTTCTACTCTTAATTTTCAATGGTAAAGATCTAATTAGTCAGTTTTTATTTCAAAAAAATCTAAAAAAGGAAAGTTAATGGTCTTTTTGTTTATATTTGTTGGGTCAAACATCAAAATCTATAGGGTAGATTAGTCTTTTTTCTAGGCAACCAAGTAAAAAAACTCTATCCTCTGTTTTCAAAATTCTTATTCTTTAGAAAATTAATTTCAGTTATATGATGAGTTCAATTTTTTTTGAATATTTCTTAAAGTCGAAGCATACATAAATATCTGCAATAGAAATACTCTTTTTATAATCTTTCTTATTTTATCCATTGACATGTGAGTATTTTTAATTTCTACACAGTTCTTGTTAAGATTAATAAAAAGGTGTAGTATCCAAAATCTAGAATATCTATCGGACGAAGTATTTGACTGAAGGCAAGTCGTCTTCCAAGAATGGTGTTAAGTGGACTAAATGAACACATATATCTATGTGTCTGTGTTAAATGAAAGCAGAAAAATAATTACTCTCTCTCTGCATCTGTATTTCTGTCCCTCCAGTGGCTGCAACAGGCAATGGATCTGCAACACTCTCCGAGTGCGCAAATCAACTTATTTTTCTTCTCAACAAATTTATATTAAATGATACTATACTTATGTCCAAAAATATGATACTACGTGTTGTACCAGATGTTTTCCCGCCTTTAATTACCTCTTATGTTTACAATTTTTGTTTTTCGTATAAATCAATTTTGTATGTGTTATGACACTGATGACTAGGTTTATAAGGAAAATTTGTTTTTGAAAAAACAAAATTCAGCGTCTAGCATTTTCAAATTTTCACTTAAAATTTTGAAGATGTTTTTGAAACACATAAAACTCTGAGGTGTTATTTAAACTCCTACCTCTTAATCTTGTTAGATCTTTCGCTAGGGTTGTTGGTATTGCTTAGATTAGTTACCTTGATCCTTTTAATTCTATGACTTAAATTATTTCTTTCATGTCCAAAAAGACGTTTATAAACTAGTTAACTCATATACCTTGATGAGATTTATTTCTCTAGTCAATGAGAATTGACGTAAGGGCGATAAGTGATATTAGTATACTTAGTATTTCGTTGACTACTTAGATTGCAAGAGAGTTTAACGAAGTTGGGTATTTAATACCACGCTTTGTAATTATTCATTGATTGGTGTTACATCCTCAAAATTATGCCTTATCAGCCTCCGCTATGTAATGATTTGATCTAGTTCATTGCTTGCCAACTTTAAACGATGCGTTCAATGCTTGAACTCACAAACCATTTTCTTTGTTATCTTGTCTACTGTTTTATTCACTTGTTCTTGTTAACCTTTTGAATTGTCTATCTTTTGCTTTGTTTTGTTTATAATTTAGATTGACTAGTACTTAGGAAAACAAAAAAAAAAATGATTTCTCTGTTCTATCTTGGATAATTCGTTTATTATTTCTCTATGTTTGCAATATTTCCTAACCCTTGGGAATTTGATTCAGTTCTTTCTAGTTTGAATCTGAATGCCTTGGGAGTGTTTTTAACATGCGACTATTTCTCACAAATAACCAAACCAGAATCAAAGAACCAACTTCAACATATTATTATATGACTCATGATTTGCTTTAGTTACCAAAAAAAAATGTTTGCGATCGCTTAAATGTTTATAATAGTCTTTGATTTCATTCCATTGTGTAACAACAACTAACTTATAACTTACGAATCTGACTTAAATATATAACACAAATTTCTTTGGTAAAAAACAAATGGGTAAGTAAAAAAAATGAAAAAAGAAAAAGAAAGAAGCGAGTGAGAAGAGAGTGCAAGTATATATAAAAGAAGCACCGCCCTAATCCACCATTCACAACAATGACATTCAAACACTCTTCAGTCTCCCTTTCTTCTTGATTCGTCCTCTCCAAATTTTTTCCAATTTCTTTAATCTCTCTCTTTCTCTCTCTATTTCTGCTTCTTCTTCATCTATGGACCCTTTAGCTTCCCAACAACAACACCACCACCATCTTGACGATACTGACCAAACCCTAACTCACAATAATCCTCAATCTGATTCCACCACCGACTCATCAACCTCCTCCGCTCAACGCAAACGCAAAGGCAAAGGTGGTCCTGACAACTCTAAGTTCCGTTACCGTGGCGTTCGACAAAGAAGCTGGGGAAAATGGGTCGCCGAGATCCGAGAGCCACGTAAGCGCACTCGCAAGTGGCTTGGTACTTTCGCCACCGCTGAAGACGCCGCACGTGCCTACGACCGAGCCGCCGTTTACCTCTACGGATCACGTGCTCAGCTCAACTTAACCCCTTCTTCTCCTTCCTCCGTCTCTTCATCTTCCTCCTCCGTCTCCGCCACTTCTTCTCCTTCCACCTCCTCTTCCTCCACTCAAACCCTAAGACCACTCCTCCCTCGCCCCGCCGCCGCCACTGTCGGAGGAGGAGCTACCTTTGGACCGTACGGTATCCCTTTTAACAACAACATCTTCCTTAATGGTGGGACCTCTATGTTATGCCCTAGTTATGGTCTTCTCCCTCACCAACAACAACAACAAAATCAGATGGTCCAAGTGGGACAATTCCAACACCAACAGTATCAGAATCTTCACTCTAGTACTAATAATAACAAGATTGGCGAGATGGAGCTCACTGATGTTCCGGTTGTTAATTCCACTTCGTTTCATCATGAGGTGGCGTTAGGGCAGGAACAAGGAGGAAGTGGGTGTAATAATATTAACAATTCGATGGAAGATTTGAACTCTCTAGCTGGTTCAGTGGGTTCGAGTCTATCAATATCTCATCCACCGCCGGTTGTTGATCCGGTGTGTTCTATGGGTCTGGATCCGGGTTATATGGTTGGAGATGGATCTTCCACCATATGGCCTTTTGGAGGAGAAGAAGAATATAGTCATAATTGGGGGAATATTTGGGATTTTATTGATCCCATCTTAGGGGAATTCTATTGATTTGTTTTTGTGGAAGATCATATTATATACGATGAGAACCCTTAAGGTCGGTCAAGAGCATTGGAGATTCATTGTTGAGAGGAATCAAAGAGATTACATTCTATGAGGAGCTTTGCATGCAAAATTTTGGAGGATTTTTTACCTATAGAGATAAATAAGAGGGTATTTTTATTATTTTTTTGAAGATTTTTATTTTCAGGGAATTCGTAAAAGAGATTACGGTTCCAATAAAGTATATATATGTGGAAGAGAATCGGAGGAGATGGTGGAAACTTGTATGGGAATTTTATTGGTTCAACACTTCCTTCACAGTGTGCCTTATATAGGATTTGATCATTTCTATTTGCTTGTTTGAGTTTCAGAGGTTATAGATAGTAGTATATATCTTCTTTTTTTTTTTTCTCTATGAAGTTTTAGTAATATAGGAATCATCAATGTAGAAACTATGGGAGAGAAACACGTTTTCAAGAAGTGTTCATCACTGGATGCATAATTGTCGTCGTTGAGAAGTTTATTTACATATTCTTTAGTTTATTTGATTGAATTGATAGTAAAAGTTGATAAACGAAAATGATTTCACGAGCTGAGTATATACTCACACCAACACTTCGTATTGGTATATACTCAGCTCGTGAAATCATTTTCGTTTATCAACTTTTACTATCAATTCAATCAAATAAACTAAAGAATATGTAAATAAACTTCTCAACGACGACAATTATGCATCCAGTGATATACTCACACCAACACTTCGTATTGGTCTTTATCAAAAAAAAAAAAAACACTTCGTATTGGGGATTACAAGTTTACAATTTTCATATCGATCATCCTTCAAAGTGTTTGGACATGATTTTGTCCGAATCCTAGCTTTCTTTTTACTAAAAAGAGTTTTCCGTTTCTGTATTTCCCTTATTCTGTGATTTCCTGTTACTATGGGTTTATTGGAAGTTGACAAAAAAAAATCAATCTTTTTTGTTATGATTATATTTCGAATACTTTAATAGTATTAAAAAAATTATATATATATATATATATATATATATATATAAGTATAATCCCATAGAAATTAAATTTTATCAATGGAATTATATTTAACTAGATTATACATAAATATTTCAATGTTAATAAATAATTTATTATAATAATTATGATTATAAATACAAAACATACATGACACATCAAATAAATTATTATATTTTTCTTTGTTAAATGAAATTATAATACTTTTTAATATCTTGGTTACTTAATAATTAAAGTGCACAAATATGTGATGTTGATTCATATATTAGATATAGATATTGGCACAACCTCTTTTACAACCGATTATTTTGGTAATCAAGTTTTACATTGTTGTTTTTGAAACCGATAAAGCTTAGTTTTATTGTTTTTTCTATATCAGAATATTATTGAAAGCTGATAAAATTAGAATTTAAAGCAAACGGAATCCCAAAAAAAAAATCGAGAAACAAAAAGAATTACTACGTACATACAAAAAAAAACCATTCAACCACGACAACACAACAACAAGAAAAAAAAAGATTTTTGAACGAAGAAAAAGATATGAGATGTCCATTATTTAAAATTATATTATTCTCTTCTATTTTAAAATTAGTGTTGTTTCAGATTTTTTTAACAAAATAAACAAATATCAATTTAGAATTTTAACGTAACAATTAACAACTAAAACATATGAAGTAAAATGACTTTAATAAATAAAGAATTCAAGAGTCAACTTTTATGTATATCTATGGTAAAATAGATGTATTTTTAATTCATATATAAATATTGAAATGATACTTATATTGAAGAAAATATATAGTCAACATTTAGTTTCCAAAAAATTGTCAAAAATATGAATTAATATGATGCACAATAATGAAAATAATGTAGTCAATATAATTATTAGCATTAAATAATGACAGAACAATTAATTAAATCATCAATTTGGTATATTGACTAGGACTATAAATTTGGACAGAAATTCAATTAGTTCAATTAAATGTAAAAACAATTTGGTGTATTGAATAGGACACTAAACCACATAAAGATTATAATATGTTAATTGTTTAATTCGGATTTTAGTTTTGGTTTACTAGTATGGTTTAAAAAGAATAATCAATGACAAACCAAACCAAATCAAATCTAATATAGTTTGGTAGAATTATAATTTAGCTTTGAATTCAGTTCTTAAGGAAATTATATTTACTCCTTAAAGAGATAAGTTTCATTTTTAGTCCATTTAAGTTAAATTAGTTATGGTAGTTTTGATACTTGAAAATAACTATTTAACCAAATCAAAGGAAAATTCCAGTTTTTGAGTTAATATTTTCAACATAGTTTAGATGTAAAAGGTTCGGTTTAACTGAAACTTAAACATACAATAGACATTCAATACTTTTTAGTAAGTAGAATTAATTTTACATTTTTATGAATCATCTATTTATCTCTTTCTTTTGACTGGTATTAATTTCCAAAATCTGATCTCTTTTAATCTCTATATAAATGATTCCCGCGTTAATCTTTCTTCATGCACTCAACAACATTTAAAAACTAAAAGAGAGAAACTAAAATCAAAGAGTGACCATGACAAGAAAGAAAGTAAAACTTGCATGGATTGAGAATGATAAGTCAAGAACAACAAGTTTTCAAAAAATGAGGGTAGGATTACTTAAAAAGGTAAAAGAGCTAACCATATTGTGTGCTGTAAGAGCTCTTATAATCATTTTCAACCCTAATAAGGTTCATCCGACGGTGTGGCCATCTGTTGAAGCGACTCATGACCTCCTATGCGAATTTTTTGCTTCACCGAGGTTCCTGCAGATGAAAAAAGAGACAAATGTCGAATCCTACATAAAGGAGAAGACACAGAAGATTCAAGAACAATTGATGAAGAGTAATAAGAAGAACAAGGAGTATGTCATTAATGAGCTGATGATGCAACTACAAAGCGGTCGTAGAATTGCTGATCTTAACTTAAGTGAGATGTATGCCTTGTTATCTTTCTCAAGGGATACTATCCTACTTTGTAGGAAGAAATTAGATTTCATGCAGTTTACTCCTCTTCGCGATCCACCAATGTTTCCATTTGAAACACAAGTCGAAGAGTTTAAGACCATCACAAATGATATTTTTGTAGGAGGCGGTCAAGATAATGAGAGAGCTGGAAAGACATATGAAGCAACAAGAAGAACCAACGTTGATATGTTCAAGGAGAGTAAAACTTATTACTTATTAGATAAATGGGTTTTTCCACCCAGCCCGCCTAAACCTGATATATATCAACAAATAGGGAACGAAAATCCAAACCTTGGAAGCTATTGTCTGTATCAAGGAAGCAATAGCAATGGAAACCCTCATTTGGAAATGGATCTACTTCGTCTCCAAATGATGACTTCACATGGTTTCGTTATACCAGTCTCTCAACCTTTACAACATCATAACATGATCGATAATCCAGTAATGGCTATGAATCAACCAAAGCAAAATTCTTTTGATTTCATGAGTCATGAGCTGGAGATAAACGAGGAGGGAAGCAACATTAACAACTCGCAATTTTACAAGAGCAACAATACTACAACAACTAATGATGGTTTTCGCCAAGAACCATGTCTTAATGGAACAACTGCTCGAGAAAATAATGCTGATGCGACGGCATTCAATATCAACATGGGTTGGCCTGATTTTGACAATCATCATTTCTAAACTTTTGATTCGGTTCATGTTCTAAGTTTGGTATGCATTTATCTTTAAAATCTTTTTTTTTTTGTTATTTTAAAATGGTGTTTGTGTGGATTTTATTATTTTCTTTTTAAAGTGTTTTCGTTTGTTTCTTTATTTGGAATAATAAATCTTTTTATTTTGTTAATTTTTGTGATATCCAACTAAGTATCATAAATATAAAAAGCTAATTTAATAATTTCCATACTTTTACATTCAACAAAAACAATGGTTAATTATTTTCCAAAAATAAAGATGAATAGACCTTTATATATTTTCATATCTATTTGGTATTTTGCGTCGATATTCCGCGTGGAAGATTTGTCAACAAATTGATCTGACGTCCATAGTCCATACTCCATACGCATGATCTATCTCTTAATTTTTTTTTTTTTTTTGTGATTTACTTTTCTTATCCATCCTTAATCTTAATTATTACCCTGATTTTACTAAAATGAATTACGTTTTTTTAAAAGAAAACATTAAAAGCATATGATGGATGCGTTTAATTGGACAAATTTATAACCATTTTTCTTTAAATCGTTAGAAACAAAACAAATAATTTATTTTAACAGAAAGGAAAAAAAACTAATATTTAACTTTTGAAATATCATTCTCGTCCAAATTTCTTAAGAGCTAATAAAATATAAGCAAAAGGCCCAAATTGTTATATGGGCTAAGAATAAAAAGGCCCATATATATATACCTCTACCCTAGGGTCTTCAAGGTATATATTCACAGTTACGCACCATTTCCACTTCTTGTTACCGTCGCCGTGAAATCGCCGATTAGGGTTCTGAGACAAGAAGTTTCTCCGCCATGAGAGCTAAGGTATTCATCTTTCGAATCCTTCACCAATACATCTTTGTATGTTAATCTGCTACGTCTCTTATTGTTGCTGCTAAGTTCTGTATATGTGTGGTTTCGCAGTGGAAGAAGAAGCGTATGAGGAGGCTGAAGAGGAAGAGACGAAAGATGAGACAGCGATCTAAGTAGACTCATCTTCAAGAACTTCCCTGTTTCTGTCTTTTCGCTTAAATCCTAAGTACTTTTGTCTGAACTTATTTCAGTTTTAAGTTGTTCTTGGCTTTGTTTTTTGTTGGATTGTTATGGATTCTCAATTAATGTTAAAGCTTAATCTATCTACTCAGTTTTTTTTGCCAATCATGTTATCATTTGGTTTAGATCTTATGGAATGATTCAGGATTTAGGATATACAAATGTTGATTGGTTTAGTAGGAACAAATCCAAACCAAATTGCGGACAAAACCTTTAGTAATAATGTGGTTTATGTTCTACTATGTATATGTATATCGTGAAAATTTATTCATTGTGAGAGTAGTGAGAAGAGAGGAACCATCTTTGTCTTTTGCTTCTGATTCTGCAAACTGAAGTAGTTGAAGAAGAAGATGTAAGTCGGTTTAACGCAGCGCAGAGAGATTGCTTCAAAGCTTTTGCTGATGCAGCTATGTTTGTAGTCTCATTGCAGTTGCTATCTCTTAGGATGAAATTGATTCTCATTCGTCCTCCAACACAGATGATTTCAGCTTGGATTGTTTCGAGATTTAGCTTAGTGAGAACTCTAATGATCTCTGAGATTGCCTCGGGTTGATCTTCGCAGCAAAACGAAGCTTTGAAGATGATTGTATTTGTGTTTGATTCAAAGTCAGAGATGGTTTCAGGCTGAACAGTTACTTCATTTGCTTCTGTTGGAAGATCTTGGAAGATTGGTGATTCTGTTGCTTTTTGTTTGAGCTCCTTCACTTGTTCAATCACTGTTGCTAATAGAGCTGCTTTGTCTAACTGTAGAGAGAGTCAAGCAAAACCGGTTTAGTTAAATTGATACTCATAACCCAGCTAGATAATAAACCGGTCAGCACAAATTGAAAATTCTTGACTAAACCGTAATCTGATCAAAATCCGTTTACTCGAATTGAATTTCATGACAAAACCGAAAACATTCCAATTGTCTGAATGAGAGTGATTACCTTGTCGGAATTGGGGACAAGTTTCCGGAGAGCAGTGAGGTGAGAATTAATCCGGTCACGGCGTCTTTTCTCAGCTTGACGGTGGCTTCTTGAAAGTGACTCAGCTTTTTCAATCCCACCGACACAATCATCCGCCGGGAAATAACCGGAGGATGAAGAAGAGAAGCCATGATTAAACCGGCTCCAATCAGAATCGGAGGGTTCAGATTGTAATGACCATGAGACCATATATGGAGTTGTAGAATCAGACCACTTGCTTGAGTCGTAAGAATTCTCCATCGCCACGAGAAAACCAATAAAGAATTGTTAAAAATGTTTTTGTATTTTAAAAAGAAGTAATAAGTTTTTTTTTTTTTTTTGGTTGCAGAATCTGAAACTGAGAGTTGAAAGAGGTTTCTGTGTAAGTGGAAGTGAGTGAGATAGAGAGAGGTCGAAGTTTTGGGTGTTGATCTAAATAATGAAGGAGAAATTTAAGGTTGATGTTGATTGGTGTGATACTCCTTGTAGACTTTTATTGGTTTTTTCTTTGTATGAAATTTAAAATTTGCATAAACTTGCAGAGCCGCAAATTTTGTGTTGAATTTTCGCTCACATGATATGATATGGAGTTATAATTTTGTTAAAAATACGACGTAGTAAAATCGTAAAAAATCGTATTTATTGGTCGCATATGATTTTAAAAGTGATGTTGTATAAACTAAAGTGACATTGGTCCTAATTTACAATTTTTACAAGTGTTTTTTTTTTTTTGCAAATACATATGTTAGTGCATGCATGTACTCCAAAGTAATTTCCTCCTAGATTAGCTTCTCTTGTAATCCCAAATCTCATTTTGAAGTGAGTCTCAAAATCATCTTCGACGATCCTAACGGTATATACTTATGGATCACATAGTATGGAATAGAGTAAAGCAGTTCGAAAAATGTAAGAATTTTTGGGTTGCAACTACATATAAAAGTATATACAAGTTTTTTTTGTGTGGATAAGTAAACATACAAGTTGTTTTCGAGATCTAACTTAAGATAGGGATATGTAGTTTGAAAGTTGAGTCGTTCAAATCAAATAGGTATATCGACCCACTTTAATCATATGGAAAAAGACCAAATGGTTATAAAGTCGAAAACTTAATTTAAATCGATATATGAAAATTGTATCGATATATGAAAATTGTAGAAAATTTGGATTTGACAACGATTATCGTCAATAACAATCATTGGAGGGAAATGCTTTTATCTTTAACTTTTCTATTTGTAAAAAAAGATTTTACCGGATCGGTGGTATCACTCACATCTCTCATGTTCCAATCATTTTCTCTACATTTTTTCTTTATGATTATTATTTTCTGAACAGAGTTTTGAATTGGAACAAATAATAATTTCTCCGCCACATTGACAACTTTTATCTCCACGTTCTCAATGCCTTCCTTAGCGATATCCACTTTTGCTTTCACTTGCCAACTCGAAACATGGTATATATATGGATTTTATTATGCATAGTCAAATATCGAAATTACTAGATAGATTTCATTGTGTTTGTTCGTCAATCGTTATATAAAATAAATGAAACAGATAATGAGATTTGGAGATGTTTGTAGCATGGCCTCATGGGACAATGTGTTTTTATGAGATAAAATGGTGAAGGGAATATGTGGAGAGGAATGGCTACATGGAGGTCGATGAGGGACAGAAGACCAAATCAAAGATATTTGATTGAGTTTATAGATTTAGTCTAATTATTCCGTTGATATCATTTGTTCATTTTTCACGTTTTAAAAACGTGAATTCCACTATTTGTTTATCATCCAATAAGTTTTTACAAAGAATAAAAAGTACAAAAAGTTGTTACATATTTGAAAAGTTATTTATCTTTTCTCTTACATGTATGAAATGAAAATATTACATGTACGAAATGATTTATCTTTTCTGTTTGCATTAGTATTTTTGAGAGCTTAAACAAAGTGATTACATACAAAAAGTCAAAAACCTTATTGTATCTATTCATTAACACGATTTAGTAAAAACCCTAAAAAGACGATCCACTGACCACTACAAACTTTGTTTTTCTCTTTACGCTTTACAAATTTATCAAGTTTACTATAGTCACAACATTTATAAAACGTAAAAGTAATAGATAAAAAGTTAAAAACCGCATTGCAGTTGAACCACATTATACATAAATTATAATGTGATCTGGAATTATTGTGTGATATGAAAGAAAAAAAAAAAATTACTTGTATGCGCATCGACAGAAGAAACAAGTTTTAACTTAGATTTGGTGGCGCTTCTTGTCACATATACTCACATGCGGAAGAGAGAAGCCTTTATTCAATAATTAATATATGTGGTTCCACAGGCAAAGCCACTAAAACGATTTTTGTTTTCAAGTTTTTAATTGCATATATCCATAAAATTTGCGCATAAATCAAGATATGTAGGGCCAAAAGTAACACTTCAAATCAAAAGTTTCATACCACACATTGGACTAAAAATAATTCTCAAGATTGTAGTCAGATTCGAGTTTATCAATCCATTGACATTCTAGTTCTTATCACCCCACTGACATTCTAGTGATGTGGGTTGAATTTGATCAATCAAACTGATAATCTTGGAACTTTGTGAATCAAAGTTGGTTAAGAAAGTATAAAATCGGAAGGGGAATCAATCGGATCTTGTTGCTATTTAAATCATATATACTGGTCGATCATGATTGATAATTTTTGATATCTATCTCAAAATGTGAAAACGTTTAAGCATCTTCAGTAACAACAAGTCTAACACTATTGAAAATTAAGTGGTACGGTGAGAATCCTAAGTAAAGATTATTCAACGACGGACATAATCATACTTTTATATGGAATTAATAATTGAAACAAAGTGTTCGCATAATGATTATCTTTTCGGTGGAAATAATTTAGACTTTGCCATCTTGGTAAATGGTATCATATCAAGCAATCGAGTACTTTGTTAGTTTCTTTTCCGTTTTCGTCGTATATTACATCTTTTTAATCTTTGTAAAAAGAACAACTGTTGAGTACTACCGACAATGAAGACTTGTCTTCCATCTTTTTTAATTTGGATCATTTAAAGTGATGAACTCTTTTCTTTTAACTGGCTAATAAGTAATAAGAAAGGATGTTTTGGAAAATAACTAGAAAAGAAGAGTTCTTTCAAAATTTATGATCAAAATGATTGTGCAGACACGGTTTAATACGCATATTTTTAACCTCGTAGATTCGTGAACAGTTTTTTTTTTTTTTTTTTTTTTTAAATACAATGAAGGTTTTTGTATTAAATATTACAACATACATATAGTTGGCAGGACTATTGTTGACAAAAAGCGAAAGAGATATATGCTAAATGTACTATAGAAAAGAACTATTTGAGCAAATGTTTTACATGTCACAAGGACAACGACCAACCATTCACCGGCGTGACCAAAAACAATCATTTGAGAACTTTAAAAAGAAGAAAATAGATACTTAGTTAACAACAAGCATTATATTATGACAGTACTGAAAAACCAATACTAATTAAGAAAACCAATTAATTGAAATGAAGAACTCCATAGCATTAGAATTTACGTTCTTAATTAACCATCCCACTATTTCTTCAATAGGTTAATTAAGGTGATAACTTATGTGTTTCCCTTTTGCCAAATCTTAATTATAATGATATAATGAGTTACAACTATTACTTGTAGATTATATATACTAAAGCAATTCTTATTGTTTTTGGTCTCCAGTAGCAGTTGTTTTACCTTTTACCAAGACGTTAAAGCTTTGGGAGGAGTGTGAGTCAACGGAGGCCTTCAAAAGAAGGCCACAATATCCTCACTTCAGTGCATCGCTTAAGGTTCCTGAACGCTGTCGCGAATGGTATGCGTTTGCTTTTATGCAAACTTATCTCGATGTATCAGAGAAATTCGAGACTCTAGGGAAAGGCCTTTCTAGAAGCGAACTACATGAGTACAAATTGACCTTTCTTGAGCTGTACAAGTCCGGGTTCGATGTTAGAGCAACTTTATCACAGATCGATGATTTGTTGTTCTTTGTCAAAGACCGGCAAGCTAATATGTTGGATCGGAGAACAAAATGGTTTCGAGAAAGATGCATCTAGCTAGCAAAGAACCAAAGATGAAGAGGCGTTTGAGCACTCACCACTCATGAGGTGCAAAAGCAAGAATCAGCTTTAAAAGAGTGGTTCCAGGCTATGTGTTGTCGATGGAAAACTATGATGCTCCTTGGCTTTTTATAACTGTGTTGATTCCTCTTGTTCCTTGCTCTGTTTCTAATGTTATTTGCTACATAATCTTAGTATTACACATAATCTTGCTCTCTTGTAAAGATCCAATTCCGATCATTCATTGAAGTGAATAGCACCAAGTTTCTCATAATAAAACGCATTCGGACAAATCGAAAACGTTTGAAAGCAAATGTCTGGCGAGCGACACTTTTCCTTGACAGTAAACTAGAATCAGGATGAGAACATCTCTTACTCGTTTCTTTTGACCAAACTGTTTCTTACAACGTCTACGTCAGACCTTTAACCAGAATTAAAAAAAAAAAACTATAAAGAGAGGATAACAGGTATAACCTAGCTTGTCTTGTGCGTTTAAAAGCTAGTGCAGTAAGCAGATTTTGAGGGCTTAAGAACTGTTATTTAAGAGGACCAGTGAAAATGGGTCGAATCGCAGTTTTGAAGTCCTCACAAAACCGTTGTTCAGAGAACCTTGCCGCTCGTTTTCTAGCAGATTCAGCCATTTTAAGCCTCTCCTTTTCACTCATCTTCACAATCTCAAGGATCGCTTCGGCGTATTCCTCCACAGTCTCAGCAAGAAACCCGGTTCTTTGTCCGTCTTCTTCCAACACGATGTCCATTTTGGGTCCAGCTGAGTTGTGAGCTGCACCACAATTAAAAAACAGAGGATCCATTAGAGAAATTGCAAGAGTAACTGAAATTTTAAGATAAAATCACAGATACAAGTCCTTATATCTGACCTATTGGGATTGCACCAGCCGCCATGTACTCAACAACGCTAATACCAAAGTGTTCATCTATCATCCCATGCATTCCTGCAACTGCATTTCCTAACAGTTCCACTAGTTCTCTGCAATCCGAAACTAACAACTCAGAATCATGGAAGCTCTGAGAGTAGTGGAAGATAACCGTAAAGAGCTTTGAGCAAATACCTGTACATGGCATTTTTATAGAATTCCACGTCTCCATCCACTTTTAGTTCAACTGCTCTGTCTTTCAATTTCTGTAGCCGTTCTTCATCTGAATTGTTTCTACAACTTCCCACAAATTGGAGCTTGGGTCGAGGGACGTCTGCATCTAATTTCTCTAAGGCTAGTGCAAAGGCCTCAAGCTGAAGCATATGAGCCTGATACAAGACTGTAATTGAGTAAGCTGGAGGACTCTTTTGAGCTTTGGAATGTGAACCATCAAAACAATAGTACCCTAGTTTATAAGTCAAATACTGGATCCCTCACCTTCTCAGGACGAAATTGAGCAACGGATATGATTTTAGGAGGATCACATGATCGTTCAAGAGGAAACGCCTGCAACAAGCCCAAGATGTCAGTAAATACTGACATGTAACCAGAAGGCCGATAAAAATCATAAGATTCGAGCTGTGTGAAGGTTATCACCTGAAGTCCTGAAGTATCACAGGGCGGGTAGACCCGTGTAATCCGTTCTGGAATTCTCCAAAGTACTTCGATATGGGACTTTGTCCACGAAGAGTTAACCATTGCTAGATGAGTACATGACCCAACCATCCCATACATCCAGCTAAAAGCTCTGTAATAGACTAATTTGCAAGTCGATAACCAATTGCTACAAAAACAAAAAGCAACAAACACCATTAGCTAACAGGACTTACACTAAACAACTAAACAGAAAACTTTCAAATTTTGAAAATCACCAAATAAGCAAGGAGAAACCAAAACCTCTTAGCAATGGAAGCATCATTGTTATACATAGAGTTCCTCTGACGAACACGAGAAATCATATCCAAACTAATAGTTGGATAATGAGTATAGCAAACAACTTTGCAACCAAAGATCCGAGCAAGGGGATATGTGAAAGCATATCCACTAGTGTCAAGGAAATACAAAGGAGTGAACTTGCGTAATGCTTCCCACGCTAAGTAAACCGAACCAAGACTCTGACCTATCATTGTGAAATGTGGGTAAGTCCTCTCTTCAATCCATTTCCTTTTGTTTAGATGAATCACCTGAGCCACACAACAACAACACATCAAAACTAACCCAAATTGCAAAATTGAAACTTGCCCTCAAATCTGAGAAGCTCTGTGTTATTAGAACTAATTCAAATTGAATCAAAGTTGATAAAGGTTTAAACTTTAGGAGTGTTGATCTATTAAAGATTTAAACTTTAGGAGTAATGGGACCTTAGGAGGAGATTGAAGGTGAACACCGAATCGATCAACGGCGCGACGAGCTAAGCTATCAGAAGAAGAGTCATGATCTCCGGTGAAGATGACACAGTCAAGATCGGGATTTTCCTCTTGGATGGCTTTAACTGCGCACCAGAGCACTCTCTCGCCGCCGCCACCGTCGTTCGTGTACGGATGGAAGAATCCCACCGCACGTTTTCTGCTCTTTCTTGCATTGATGACGGAAAGAGATAAACTCAGAGATACGGCGAAGATGATCGTGAGAAGGGTATAGAGAATGAAGCAGATCGCCATGGAAGCAGATCGCTGAGCCAAAAAGACAATTCCGAAACTTTAATTTATTAGTTTCAATCTTAAATCGTGTTTCTGAATATTGTAAAAGACACACCAAACTATGACTATATTACAGTTATACCCCTTATATCTTGATTAGCTAAATAATTGGGGGTTTAACTCACAAAATTGATGACAATGTCCTTTCATTTCATCCTCTTCCTCTAAATAGTCAAATATATAACATTGTTTTCTCTTATGATCCAAATAATTGAAACGTGTGGCTAAACAATTAGAATTTTGTTTACTACGATCCAAATTATAGGAAAATTAGGGTTAAAAGTTTAGAATTTTACTTGATTCATTAATTTTTAAAGGACATTGGTGTTGTGACTTGTGAGTAAGCATTGGACCATCCGAAGCAACTCTTCAAAATCTCTTCCTTTAATAAGATAACATTTCAACCTCACAACCATCTTCTCTACAGCGTAAGTTCAAATAAAGCCACATGCTTTGCTTACACCAGCATTGATCCGAAGTTAAGCCATGAGAATCCAAGTATGTGTCAATATACTCGTCTTGACACATTCAGTACTTGTATGTAGAATCCAAGTATGTGTCAATATACTTCTCTTGACACATTCAGTACTTGTATGTTGCCACAATCCATGGTTTCGCTGTCCAAACAAATTGAAGATGACAAAGTTCTTACTATAAATTTGAAGAAGATATTCGAATTCAATAATGTATTAAAGAAAAGATTTCATATAGTAGTATTAAAAATGAGATATTATGTAAAATGTTCACTTAGTCTCTCTGATTTGGCTTTTAGTTGTAATATATACTAAAATGACCAGTTGACCACTTAGTCTCTCTAATTCGACTTTTGGTTGCGCTAAGCACAATGGAGACATTGTTGTCGTGAGAAAGCATTGGAACCATCTGAAGCAACTCTTTAAAACCTCTTGTGTTACAATACGGTCCCAACCTTACCACCATCTTCTCTAGTGTCTTTGTGGTTTTAAGAACAAGTTCCATGAACAAAGCCACATGGTTTGACTCTACATTCCTACGGTAAATGTTTCCAAAGACCTTCGCTTCCAAGCATTGATACGGATTCCAGCCATACAAATCTAATAAATATTTGTCAAGATTCTCCTCCTATATATATACAACAAAAAAGATTTCAGTAATGCGAATAGATTATCCATATCTCAGATTAAATATAATCTCAAAGTGAGAAGGACATGGTTCTTGGATTATTCAAAGTCGACAGAATGGTCATGATGAAAAGCTAAATAGGCTTATGAAAACAAATTACCTTTATGGCGTCGCAATCCATTGTGCGTATGGTTAGCTTCTTTAATTCAGGTGAGTTTTGTAGCACCCTTACTATACCAGAAATAACATATCGAGAGATAGTTGTGTCAAGCGTCAAAACTTTAGCCTTGAACTTGGGAAAAGGAAAACCATGGAGATCGGCATGAGATAAAGCCTAACAAAAAGCAAAAGACAAATGTATAGTGAATATCAAAACGCAGCTCTCAAGAAGCACATCAAGCTATATAATATCCATCCATATGACACTTGAATACACCAAAACGTACCTTAAGAAAGTTTCCACCAAAAGTAAGCTTCTCTACATTCTGCACCTTCTCTAGAATCTTTAGCACAATGGTTTGAAGAAAACGAGTGTTTAATTTTCCAGTTAAGACAGAGTCAATGTCTAGTTCAGCTTCTATTAAAGACGAGACATCAACTAAAGTATATGGAAAATCAGAGATTGTCAATCTCAATCTAAGGGAATGGATATGTGGTGCCACAATCTTTGCCCCCTGAAGCCAATGTTCGCTTTCTATTTCTAATGTTTTTAGACGCGGTGATTTGCTGAGATCAAGAACACACAATTCATCGCAGAAATACAATCTTAAGGTTTCGAGATTCGGAGAACCAGATAGAATCTTAGCAAAGGGTTCGTCATAGATGTTGCAAGTGTGCAATGAAAGGATCTTCAAAGATGTCCAAGAGACGGAGCATTTGGGATCCAATTTAGTATAATGTAACTTAACGTAAAGTTGCTTGACAGAAGAATTGATGTAGAAGAAATCAGGAACATCATAAATACAGTATTCCAGCCACAGATTCTCCACGTTTCGGTACATGGCAAACTCGATCCAACTGTAAACTTGAGGATAATAGTCGTCGGAACTTTTGAAACGGAGCTCAAAACTCATCATCTTGCGAGCCGTGTAGCGAGATAGGGTTTTGTCTATCGAACCACTGTCAAGACGACATCTTCCACCGAAGAAGGAGAGGGAAGGTGTATCAGACCATACATGTCTCCATCTTCTCGACAAGATGGAAGTTCTGATTGCTAATTTTGTCGGGATGAAGGCGAGGATAACTTGGAGGATCTCATCAGGCAAAGAGCTGATTGAGTCTAGATCTTCGCTTGAGACTCTTGCTCGTTTGATTTCGCGGCGGTGGTGATCGACATACTGGCTAGGGATTCTCACAGAGGCGGTGGCGTTGTCTCCGTTTCCGACTTTGTCCGCCATCGTAAGTTATCAACTGATAATTTGCAATTTCATTCCCCAACCTAGGGCTTTTGAGTAACTTACAAGTATCCCCAAAATATTACTAAACCCAATACAGATCTTCTCCTTAATAATATGCTAAAATTTGGGCATATATGGATTGATTTGAGTTTTCCCATCAGCTATCGGCGTTATATATTAATGAATTTATGTTAAGAATTGCAAATTTCTGTTTCTAAAATTCAAGTTAATTTAATTGGTTATGGTAATACTTGTACTCTCTCTTGGCTAAGTTGCCCACACTTTTTTCTTCTTTTTTTTTTCCTTTTTGGTTATATGTAAATGCATTAGAGAAAAAAAAAAATCTTTTTTACGCAATATTGCAATGTGAAGAGGAATATGACTAAGTTAACATGTATTATTTTACCTACTACTACAGAGGTCTAATAGTAGTTTCTTCTAACAGTTAGTAATGGTGTCTCCGGAACCTCTTTCAAAGAAGTCGATGAAATGGGTGTTATGGAGAAGAAACTTCGTTCACTAAAATGCAAAGTAGGAATAGTAGAAGCAAGAAACGTGGAGATCAAGTCACAAGCTAGTACTCTGTTCGCTAGATTCTAACTCTCGGCAAGACACAACAGAAAGATCGAAGTAAACATGGGAGGGATCTCTTCGAAATCAGACCAACTTATGTAGGTTAAATCTTTTGGTCCGGAGTGTCAAGGGAACGAAGCAGCTGTCAAAGAATTGAACCAACAGAAGCTATGGAGGAAGAAAACGTCGTTGTTTCTTAGGAAGTCATCAAGGTTTGAGGTTGTGGGGACTGGGGAGAGGTGGTGTTTCATGCAAAAATTTGCATCAAAACTAACCCAAAATGCAAAATTGAAACTTGCCCTCAAATCTGAGAGGCTCTGTGTTATTGAAACCAATTCAAATTGAATTAAAGTTGATAAAGGTTTAAACTTTAAGATTGTTGATCTATTAAAGAGTAATGGGACCTTTTTTTTTGATAAACTTGTAAATATCATTATGGAATGAAAGGTTTAGGCTTTACAAAAGAGTGAGACCTATACAAATGCTACCTTGCCAAAAAAGAAATAAAAAGAAATACAAATGGGACCTTAATTAGGAGGAGATTGAAGGTGAACACCCAATCGATCAACGGCGCGACGAGCTAAGCTATCAGAAGAAGAGTCATGATCGCCGGTGAAGATGACACAATCAAGATCAGGATTTTCCTCTTGGATGGCTTTGACTGCGCACCAGAGCACTCTCTCGCCGCCGCCACCGTCGTTCGTGTACGGATGGAAGAATCCGACCGCACGTTTTCTGCTCTTTCTTGCATTGATCACGGAAAGAGATAAACTCAGAGATACGGCGAAGATATGATCGTGAGAAATGTATAGAGAATGAAGTAGATCGCCATGGAAGCAGATCGCTGAGCAAAAAAGTACACAATTTCGAAACTTTGATTTATTTGGATTCAATCTTAAATCGTGTTTCTGAATATTGTAGAAAATACCCCCAAACTATGACTGAATTACAGTTGTACCCCTTATATCTTGATTAGTTAAAGAATTGGGGGTTAACTCCCAAAATTGATGACAATGTCCTTTCATCACCTCCTCTAAAATTTAAAAGGTGTGAATGAATCTAAGAGATCTTTCATATTTTGGTTAAAAACGAGATCTCATTAAACAAGGATCATGTTGGAGATGGTTTAAAGATGGGATAACTTTATCTTCCACTTCCGAAAAATGCAGAATAATCCGACGAAGTCAAAAACAATACGCAATATATTTGATATTTGGTAGTTTTACAATAACTATTCGGCGGACAAAATTATTTATGTATTTGGGATGGGATACAAACGGCATATATACATAATCGCCTCGGTAAACCTAAACCGCAAGGAAGAGAAAACATGACGACGTCTTGGTTTGAAGATGCGCAGGCGTTTCTCCGTGGCCAGAATGAGTACTGGCGTCAAGTGAATGAGTCCGAGGTAATTCTTTCATCGTCTTATAGTTTATAGAGGTTGATGTTTCTGAATTTCTGTAGAACGTACGTAGTTTCTAAAGGAAATCGCTTCTTTATCTAATTACTAACTGATTGGGTCTTAATTAGGGTTTCGATCTCGAGGGTATCTTAGCACCACCTGGGACCACTGGACTTATGATCCACAACTGTAAGGATGAGTTTGGGTTCAGGGTGGATTATCGTGTCGACCTGTATGCTAAGTTGGGGCTTCATCGTTACAATATGTTGAAGGTATGAAAACTATATATTTTCTCGTCGGTTTATATATTTCTTGGTACTAATTTATATATCTTATATAGTCTCGTGAATTTATATATTTCTTGATTCAATTCTTTCTTGAACTATCAGGGGACAAACTTCCAGCTCGATGAACTAATCAAATTCAACATGTTAATGAACATGGTGTCCGCTTACCACATTACTTTGGTTGCTTCCGATCCAGCTAGCGGTTCCGTGCTTAACTTTCAGGTTAAAGTTGAGGAACATATGGTTAACCGTTTAAATGTGACTGTCTCGATTGCTAGACCTAAAGGTGGCTTGTGTTGCATTGTTCATATTTTTTTCCTTGTTATACACTGTATAAATCTCACTTTGCTAATCAATAATGTTGCTTAGGAACCATTGAGCCCCTCCCGCTTCTAGATGACCTCAAGGCCGACAGAGCGCATCATGAATTACACGATGATGATGGATTGTCTCAGTGGCCCTCAGAAGATGCTTTCAATGATACCAAACGATTTTACATGGTAAGGACTTAAAGATACAACATCATCATCACCTTTGATTTTTTTTTTCTCATGATCAATTATGTAATGATTGATAGTTCCTTTGCAGGTTGAGGAATCAGAGTTGCAAGACACTGATTGGATCCGTCTATATTTGGAACTTGTCCTTTGTTCAAAGGATAGGCGGCTCAGAGCCGTAAGTATTTTTTTTCTTCTTCTCTTTTATATTAAATTACATACCCATGAATGGTAATAATCAACTAATGTAACACTTTCTGTGCAGAGCGACCTGTCCAAGTTGAAGATTGTGAAAGTGGCTGTAGAAACTAATGATGAAGATGTGGAGCCGCCGAATGAGAGACTCAACGCGAAAACCGCAAGTTTCTACATAACTTTTTACTTGGCCATTTGGGGGATTAGGGAGGATGTTGAACGCAGAGCAATAGTTAGAAGAGTCCTTTCACGTACAGGAAACTTGATCCTCCTCGATACTTTGACTCCTTTCAAGAAGGACACAGGACTTAATAAAAGAATAATGGAAGCCTCTATGGCTGATAGACTTGCCGTGGCGACTAATCCTTCCATGTTCCGTTCCCTCCGCTGAATCATATCGCCTCCGTCATGACAAGATTCGTCTAAAATGCAAAGATTGAAACTTGCCCCCCAAATCTGAACTTTAGGAGTAATGGGACCTTAGGAGGAGATTGAAGTTGAACACCGAATTGATCAACATGCGCGACGAGCTAAGCTAGCAGAAGAAGTGTCATGGGATAAACGTGGGGCTAAGCAATTAGAATTTTGTTTACTATGATCCAAATTATAGGAAAGGGTTAAAAGTTTAGAATTTTACATGAATTATTAATATTTGATCTTAACGTTTGAAATTATAAGAAAAACAAATATTCAATGTTCAATAATGTCATGATTATTGCCTAACCAAATAAAGAAGAGTTTACATATAGTAGAACTGAAAATGAGATTTGATGTATATATATGTCTACTTAATCCATGTGAGTAAGCATTGGAACATCAGAAGCAACTCTTCAAAACCTCTTCCTTTAATAAGATAACATATCAGCCTTACGAGCATCTTCTATATTGTCTTTGTTGTTTTAAGCATAAAAGTTCAATAAAGGAAGCCACATGCTTTGACTAACACCAGCATTGTTAATCCATGTGTCAATAATACTCCTCTTGATACATTCAGTACTTGTATGTTGCCACAATCCATGGTTTCGCTGTCCAAACAAATTGAAGATGACAAAGTTCTTACTACAAATTTGATGAAAAATAATATTCAAATTCAATAATGTATTAAAGAAAAGTTTTCATCTAGTAGTATTAAAAATGAGATTTGATGTAAAATGTTCACTTAGTCTCTCTGATTTGGCTTTTAGTTGTAATATATAAAATGACCAGTTGACCACTTAGTCTCTCTAATTCGACTTTTGGTTGCGCTAAGCACAATGGAGACATTGTTGTCGTGAGAAAGCATTGGAACCATCTGAAGCAACTCTTTAAAACCTCTTGTGTTAGAATACGGTCCCAACCTTACCACCATCTTCTCTAGTGTCTTTGTGGTTTTAAGAACAAGTTCCATGAACAAAGCCACATGCTTCGACTCTACATTCCTACAGTATATGTTTCCAAAGACCCTCACTTCCGGGAATTGATACGGATTCAAGACATAGGCATCTAAGTAGTTGTCAAGATTCTTCTCCTATATACAAGAAAAAAGATTTCATTAATGCAAATAAATTATCCATATCTCAGATTCTATAATCTCAAAGTGAGAAGGACATGGTTCTTGAATTATTCAAACTAGACAATAGATAGAATGGTCATGATGAAAAGCTAAATAGGCTAATGAAAATAAATTACCCGTAAGGCGTCACTATACATTGTGCGTATGGTTAGCTTCTTTAATTCAGGTGAGTTTTGTAGCACTCTTACTATACCAGAAATAACATATGGAGAGATTGTTGTCTCAAGGGTCAAAACTTTAGCCTTCAACTTGGGAAAAGGAAAACCATGGAGTTCAGCAAGAGATACAGCCTAAAAAAAAAGAAAAATTAAAGACAGATAGTGAATACCGAAAGATCAAAAGAAAAAATGGGGCTGAATCACATAAAGACAACAATATATAAAAGTGGATTGTGCAAACCAACTGATTCTACATTGGTGAAGTAAGTTCGAGTCATTAGAGAATGCAATATAATATCTATCCATATGACACTTGAATACACAAAAACATACCTTAAGAAAGTTTTCACCAAAAGTAAGCTTCTCTACATTCTGCACCTTCTCTATAATCTTTAGCACAATGGTTTGAAGAAAACTACTGTTTAATTTTCTAAGTGAGCCAGGGTCAATGTCTAGTTCAGCTTCGGTTAAAGACGAGACATTAACTAAAGTATATGGAAAATCAGAGATTGTAAATCTCAATCTAAGGGAATGGATATGTGGTGCCACAATCTTTGCCCCCAGAAGCCAATGTTCGCTTTCTATTTCTAATGTTTTTAGACGAGGTGACTTGCTGAGATCAAGAACACACAATTCATCGCAGAAATACAATCTTAAGGTTTCGAGATTCGGAGAACCAGATAGAATCTTAGCAAAGGGTTCGTCATAGATGTTGCAAGTGTGCAATGAAAGGATCTTCAAAGATGTCCAAGACACGGAGCATTTGGGATCCAATTTAGTATAACCTGACTTAACGTAAAGTTGCTTGACAGAGGAATTGATGTAGAAGAAATCAGGAATATCTTCGATACAAAGTGTCAGCGACAGATTCTCCACGTTTCGGTACATGGCAAACTCGATCCAACTGTAAACGTAAGGATAATAGTAGTTCCAAATTAAACGGAGCTCAAAACTCATCATCTTGCGAGCCGTGTAGCGAGATAGGATTTTCTCTATCGACTCACGGGCATTAGTACAGCCTTCTTGGAAGATGGAGAGGGAAGGTATATCGCACCATATATGTCTCCATCTTCTCGACAAGACCGAAGTTCTGATTGCGGCTTTCGTCGGGATGAAGGAGAGGATAACTTGGAGGATCTCATCAGGCAAAGAGCTGATTGAGTCTAAATCTTCGCTTGAAACTCTTGCTCGTTTGATTTTGCGGCGGTGATTAGAGAAATAATGGCTAGGGTTTCTTACAGAGGCGGTGGCGCCGTCTCCGTTTCCGACTTTGCCAGCCATCGTAAGTTATCAACTGATAATTTGCAATTTTATTCCCCAAACCTAGGCGGTTGAGTAACCAACAAGTATCTCAAAATATTAATGGGCTCTAAAAGCTCATTAAAAATTACAAACCCAATACAGTTCTTTTCCTTAAGAATTCTAAAATTTGGGCTCTAAAATCTGAAGCGAAGTGAAAGATTGTTGCCTATACATTGTATGAAGTCTTTTAAAACAAAAAAAAAAATGAGATGTGGCAAAAGTCTTTTAGTAGTTTTCTTGTAACAATTAATGATTAATGATTTTTACCAAAAAAAAAAAAAAAACAAAAAATAATGATGGCATCTCCGGAACATACTATTTCAAAGAAGTCGATTAAAACGCATATCAAAATTGATTGATTTGAGTTTTTTTTTTTTTTTCCGAGCGTTCCAGTAATTTTATAAAAAGCCGACACATATATAAGAACAACAAAGCTTATGGAAAAAATATACTACTCATCAAGGGATGATCCAACTTATGTTAAGGTTTACCAAAACGTTCCTATGAATATTTTTGAATTTATAAGTGATAAATTTCTACATGAGGTAATTTTTGAGTGATTTCATGTGAATCTTGTAAATAAAACATAGTTTTTTTGTTCTTAATGTTATTATTGTCTTTTTTTTTTGTTCTTAATGTTATTATTGTCTTTATTTAGGATCCAATTTTTTTAATACTTTTTTCTACAAAAAACTTGATGAGTTGTAAAGTATTTCATCTCATCACGAGAAAATATTTCTCGCAATCTCCTGATTCTTAATTTATCCTTGTTATTTATGTTGATTGGTTTATTTGTGCTTTTTCTGCACATTATAACAACTCATATTTTGATGTGTTTCTAACCATTTTCTTACCAATATTTTGGTCAGAATATGTTTATGTGAAGAACCTCACACTAATTTCAATGCTCATATACTAGTTCCACTTTCTATGATTAACGAACAGATTCAAAGTCAAATCTTCGAACTCCCTCACGATATTGCTGAGTGGATCTTTGATCGTGCGTATTGGCGAGCAATACAAACCTTGTAGCATGCTACCTTGTGCACTTTTCTCAGCAATCTGAAGATGCTAAGATGTTTGGCTTCAAGGTTTGTACCGATCTTTCCACCAACACTCATGTATGGTTGGCTACCACGCTGTTACAATGGTAGATGTTACGTTTATTGATGGCAGATGGGTTGCAATCTGTAAAATGAACAATGGTGTGGATGTTGCTTATCAAGGCTATGTGTATGTCTGTCTATCAACGATGTATATGTTTGTTGATTGCACTCTCGAAGGCAGATAGTTGATTAGGCCAAGTAGTAGGCCAGTAGGTCTCATAACAAACTTTGTTGTTTTAAAGATGCATGAGAATCAAAAGGGTGAGAAAAAACATGATGAGAAGAAACATGACGAGAAAGACCCAGAGAAACCGAAGAAAAATAAATTGAAAGAACCTTATTCAGTGGCGGGTCTATATATTACGGGTTTCAGTTCTAAATAGATATCAAAGGAACAAAATTCTCCTTCAAAAATTATAAAAGTGTTTCAGAGAATCTTATGTTTTTACTGTTTTTAATTACATATCTCATCGATCGCCACTAGGTAACAAGTCCACACAACTGTTTTCATCGTTTTTTTATGTAGTTTGTCTAATCAAAGTACTTAGCAATTTTTTTTGCTTTTCTCGTAGATTTGCTGCGTTTATAGTTGTAATTTGTCAAATCAAAGTAACTAGCTAACACTTATATGCAACTGAGACATGAAAATCAAAGTAATGGTAACTATAGTTATCAGAGTATCTTCTCATTTGTGTGTCCCTTTAGTATGCGTTACTCAATTGTACACTGAAATTAATGATGAAGATCCCCGGACGGATAGATAAATAGGTTAACTTTGTCTCAGGATGGTTAGATTGTGCAATTTCATGTATTCATCATATCGTAAACCAAAAATATTTGGAGCTTGATATCCCCAAGAACAGTAATAATATATTAAATGTTCTAAACCTTTAATTTATTTACAAAAATACTGAACAAAATTATCAATATATCAAGACCTAATTATGAAATTAATTAAGTTTAGCTAAATACTAGTATATGTTAATGAATCATGGAAGAAAGTGTTGTAGCTGAATTATGATTAGACTTATATCATCCAAAGAGCCTCTCTTAAACGATAGCTCGGCTAGTTTCTTGCAAGCAGAAAGTGTCTTTGGATTCTCTACGCCTACGCAGTACGGTCGAACCACATCGACCGCCTCTTGGTTCGTTACCTATAACGTTCCAAAAATTAGACCAGCTTCCACATTCAATCCACAGACCAAAAATGAAAATCAAATTTTTGGAATCATGCATTTCTTGTTATGCTTACCTTGTCCCACAGGCCATCAGATGCTAAGATCAAGAATTCGAACTCCGGTTTAATCCGTAATGTTCTGGTTTCCGGTTCGGCTATAACCCACTCCTTAAGATACCGGTCTCCAATTCCTCGTGAGACTGCTAATGTCCCTTGAATTCTCCAAACGCCGTTGCAGCAGTCAACATAACCACCCTACACACAGACACAAAAAAAAAGTAAGTAAACCAAACCCAAAATCAAACACAAAATAAACCTAACCTCACTACAACATCATTTGAACGCAAAATAGTAGAATGATTGTCAAATTTGCAGATTTCATCAACCACATTTTTAGTATAGAACCGCATTTTCCAACCACACATTCCGAAAATCCATGAATATAATAAAATTTAAATTTTTAATGCAATGTTACTAATCAAAATCCAATGCACAGAGAGAAAACTCACCAATGCTTCAATCCTTTTGAGCTCATTTGCTTGAGAAGGATTATGATCGGAAGTGAGAGCTTCCGCGGTTCCACCGCGACTAATAACAGCCCGGCAGTCTCCTGCATTCGAAACTGCAAGCTCGCCTTTCGATATCAGAGCGGTTACACAACACGCGCCGCCTCTGGAACCTTCTTTCAAGAAATCCTCATCAGTTTTGATATAACCTTCTCTGATCGCTCTCTCCATTGAGCAACCTTCTTCTCCTGATCTTGCCGATGCCATCGCGGCCTCGATATTGTTTCCTAGATTCATCGCAGCGAATTCCGCCGCCTTGGATCCGCCGTGACCATCAAATACCCCAAAGAAAGCATTTTTAACAGCTCCGTCGTCTTTACGATCAACCGCGGCGAAGTACCGATCTTCCATTGGTCCGCGTCTTCCTCTCTTACAATAAACAGAGTAGTATCCATCTTCCTCAGCTTCAACAACCTCCGCTCCTTTCTCCGCCGTCTCTCTCGTCGTACTACACCACGATGCAACCGTCGGAGCCGCCGTTAAGTCAAGCATCGGCGGTCGTTTCCGTTTCAACACCGTTTCAGAATCCGAACCCGAAGACGTAGTCGTTGCCTCCCTTGGCTTCCTTGGAGGACAAGCAACCATCGTCAGCTTCGGTGGCGCCGAACGAGGAGAAGACAACGGCGTTTTCACCGACGTCGGAGAGAAAACAAGCGGAGGTGGGAAAAAAACCGGAGATTCAGGAGCCATGATTACAGATCTCTTCATGGTGAAATCGTCGGTGAGTTTCTTCTCTCGATTTCTCGTTTGTTTGATCGGATTCTTGGAGAGTTGCATATAAAGAAATAGGGTTGGTCTTTTTTTTGTTGTTGTTGTGTTTATATAATTTCTTGTTGTTTACGTCTGAGAAAACGAAGACCTTGTGAATAGGGGAACAATAGTGGGCGGTTGGATTTTTTTTAGAGACAATTTGCGCAGAAGTATTATTGGGACATGAAATTAGGAAAAAAACATTACGGCTGCATGTCTTAGACAACCAAAAGTAAAACGATGAAATGGGGCATCAAATCTCTAGTATTTACAAGAAAACCAGCGTCTCCGTTGGCACTGCGCGTGGGGCAAAAAATTTGGCCGTTCACATAACCGAAAGAACAATCTGACTAGTCTTTAATGCAAAATAGTTGAACTGACTGTTATCCGGCGGCTGACATACGAGGTGACTGGCATTTAATGAAGCAACTCCAAGTTGGCCATTATGAAATTTAAACGGCTGCGAAATGATTTGGGCGGGATACTCAAAATGTAAGACCTAACCTAACCGCGTGAACCCCCAATAAATAGGTGGCCGCAGATGGCAAAGAAGTAGAGAAACACAAAGTAAAAAATAGAAAAAAGAATTAATCTTCAAGAGAACAAAGCCAAGCTTAAGAAAAAGGGTAGAGGGGTAAGAACTCGTAATCGATATATAAAAAACTAGATGTTTCCCTTCTGTAGATAATTAATGGTATTTGTTCTCTCGCAGGATAAGTGATGGATACGACCAAGGACTTGCTGGAGGGCTTGGTTCGGGTGGTTCTCGGTATGTGGAACAAAGACGACGACGCGTTGTGGAGGTTCACACCGGCGAGGGACAGAGATGGGAAGTGCATACGTTTCCGAGAGGGCGATGGTGTGATAGCCGCGAAGCAAAAAGTGATCAACGACCTAAGCATCGATCCAACGGTGGAGAAGGTGGAACTCACGTACGAGATGCCCGAATGGATGGATGTTGACGGCTCAGTGAAACCGGTTCCGATCCACATCGTCACAGACGACGACATGGATCTCTTCCTTGCCATGCGGGTGGATATCCATGACTTGAAGCTCTATGTGGTACCCATGGCGCTAAACATGGCACTCGAGATCGATGGTTTTAAGGTGGTACCAATCATGGACGAGTACGCGTTTTCACAGGTCATGAGCAAAGCCGAGATGGATAGAGAGAAGCAACGCAGAGCAGACAAAGAGGCAATAGACAACATCATTTGCACTCAGCTACCCCCCGAACACGTAGCGGACAGCGATGATGGTGTGCTTGGATGGGTAGGCCATACATACGCAGCAGGAGGGTTTGCTACGTTAGCATCAGCCTTGAGATACTACAAAGAAGTCACACATGCAGAACATGAAAAGGGCTCGCCAGTTACAGTGTTGAACCCTGAATGTAGTTCCTCAGCAGATGCAAACGATGATCGCGTAACACGCTTAACGAGAGACCTGTTCACAGATTTTGAGAAAGGTGAAATTTCATTAGAAATGACAAACTATTGTTAAACGTTAATTATTCATGTAACCCTCTAAGTATTTGGTTGGACGATATGATCAGCGGCAAGCTCCAACGATGAAAACACTCAACCGCAAACAGCAGAGACGGGAGCCGAAGTTCAGGCAGCGCCTACCGTTGGTAAGTGAATAATATTCCTAAATGCGAGCTACAATCAATTAATACGACTTCCGCTTATTAACAACAACACTTGGACAGACAATGCGCTGAACGGAAACCAAACCACCACAAACCTAGCTGCGAGACCGGTGCCTGGTATGTTGCGTTTACTGGAGCTACCAGCTCACACTTTCGCGAGAGATGCGGCTCCGGTGGTTGATGACACAGACCCCGAAGGTATTAAAGAAAACAGATTGCAGAAATTAACATTTGATATGGTTATTCATTTTTGTACATAGATGTCTAAGAATTGACGGTCACATCTAATTTTTAACATAGGTGGTGACAAAACACGGTTGGTGGTGTTGGATGTAGACTACGAAGGGGATGAGCTCTTTATCGGAAGGGTGTTCAAAAATCGAGACGACTGCAGAGTAAAAATCGCCGTCCACGCCATAAACAGGAAGTTTAGTTTCAAGAACGAACGCACGACGAATGACGTGTTTATTGTACGTTGCGTCTCGGACACGTGTCCTTGGCGGGTATATTGTGTCCGTCTAGACGAAACGGATTACTTTGAGGTGCGGACAGCTATGTTAGAGCACAACTGCCCGGTGGAGGTCAGAAGCCAGTACCAACGACAAGCAACGACGTCGGTCATTTCACAAATCATGAAATCAAAATATACCGGCGCCGGGATGGGACCAACACCAATTGGTATCAGGCAGGCGTTGATGGACGAATACAGTGTAAACGTCTCCTACTGGAAAGCATGGCGAGCGAGGGAACTAGCAATGGAAGCGGCAAAAGGTTCAACCACTGGAAGCTACGGGATATTGCCAACGTATTTGCATATGTTAGCCAAGGCAAACGTAGGGACGGTGACTGACTTACACACAGATGTAGACATCGATGGAGACAGTCGGTTCAAATACTGTTTCGTAGCTCTGGGCGCGTGTGTGAGAGGTTGGAAGTTCATGAGGAAGGTTGTGATCATTGATGGAGCACATTTGAGGGGCAAATACGCTGGGTGTCTACTGACCGCAAGCGCCCAGGATGGCAATTTCCAAATCTTTCCCATTGGTTTTGGAATTGTTGACGGCGAAAACGACAACGCCTGGCAATGGTTCTTTCAGTGCCTGAAAAAGATAGTCCAAGATGAGGAGGACCTGACTTTCATCTCTGACCGCCACTCCTCGATTTACACGGGGCTTGGCAAGGTTTAAACATTTATGTTTTCAGTCTATTACTAACTTTGGTCAACTATGCAATTAAATGGATAACCAATATTATTTATAGATGTTCATGATGTTACATTTGCTGGTCATCAGGTGTACCCAAGAGCAGCTCATGGGGCGTGCATTGTGCATCTACAAAGGAATGTTGCAACTAAGTTTAAACAGCGGATGCTTGCTCCTCTGATAGCAAAGGCCGCTAGAGCGTACAAGAAGTCAACGTTTGCCGAGTACTTTGAAGAAATCGAGCGAGTGTCGCCGCAGTGTGCGGAGTATTTAATGGCGATCGGATGGGAGCATTGGACTAGGTCGCATTGCTATGGGGAACGATACAACATTATGACATCAAACGTGGCAGAGTCACTAAACGCGGTCTTGAAGGAGGCAAGAGAGCTGCCTATTGTGTCAACACTAGAGTACATAAGAGGTACCCTCATGACGTGGTTCGCGAAACGAAGACTCAAAGCCGCTGGACATACAATGCCACTTACGCCTAAAGTGGAGGAAATGATCCTAAGAAACTATGAACGCTCAACCTCGTATGAAGTCATACGGATTAATAGTGCACAATATGAGATCAAGACTACAACTGGGTTATCTTATGTCGTGGATATCCAACAAAAAAGTTGTACCTGCGAGGAGTTCACAAAGCTAAAGATCCCATGCAGCCACGCGATTGCAGCGGCAATGCGCTGTGACATGAGGGTCCCCGACCTAGCAGCCCCAGAATATGGAAGTTTTTTTTGGAGTCTTGCTTACAATGGGAGTATCCACCCTGTCCCTGACTTGTGCACGCTCCGTGAAGTTCCAGATAGTATTGCAATGATGACAGTCCTTCCTCCACTTACAAGGAGGCCACCAGGTAGGCCAAAGCGATCTAGATATCTGTCTAGTGGAGAGTATAAGGTATTAAAAAAACTTGTGGATGCCTACATTATTATTTAGGGGCCTAACTTATTAATATTGTTATACAATGGCGCCACAGAGACCGAACAAGAAGGCAGCGAGGAAGTGTACGCGTTGCAGTGGGCTTGGGCATAATCGGGCGACATGCAGGATGCCTATATAAAATAATAAAAATATAAAGATGGGTAAGAAAATGACATTTTCAAGCAAAGCATTCCAACGTTTAATATGAGACTTATAATTCGTGAATTACTTTGTAGTTTTTTGGAGCTGTATCTTGGAGGTGTAAAGGCAGCTCGGCGGCTAAAGAACGTGTTCCAAATCGGCGTTGAAACGTGGCATAATTTTCTATGTATTATAGTACGGCCACTGTGTGACCCTTCTTCTGTTTTTTATGTAATATGTGTAAACCGTAAGAACTTGTCCGCTAAAGGTGTATTGCGTTGATCGTGTGAGTCCGCACACCGTCTAATGTGAAATATTTTATTAAACGTTTATCTTCTTGATTACATTAAGTCATAAATGATGCAATGACAAGGCTATAAATATTTTGAACTTAAGTTTAATGGAACTATAAAATAAAGTTTGGCGGAGTATACTAGGATATAGACGGCAAGTTAGAGAGCTATTAAATAGACGGGAAGGTAGAGCGCTATTAAATATCGTGAATAAAATACGTGGAAAGCATCGACATATATAAGCAACAGCCGCTAGGGCTACATTCTAGTAGCCTACTTTGGCCCCTACGATGGAGCATTTAATGAGGGACGCGGCTTTGGAGGGTGGACCCACCATGAGTACGCAAATTATCTACTTAACCAAGGGTTGGATGCGGAGAAAAGCATATTCAAAACACACAAAAAAAAAAGAAAAATGAATATCACTCAGAGCCAAGAACAAAGCCGGGCCTCGGGGAGTGGGTCAAACTCGACGGGCGGAGAGATCAACGTTGTGAGGACAGTTGCGGGAGTACAATGTTTCTGTGGTAAGGAGGCACAAATCCGTCAATCATGGACAGACGCGAATCCAGGGAGGAGATTCTACAAATGCGGGGATAGATGGAAAAGTTCCTGTGACTACTTCCGCTGGCGGGATTTGGAGAAGCCATACGGTTGGCAAAAAGCTGCACTGTTGGAGGCGAGGGATTTAATAAGGTCACAAGCAGAGGAGTTGAAGCAGCTGCGAGAAATAAATGACGGGGAGCGCGGCGAGGACAATGAAGACAGAGGCAGGGAGGCCACTGATGTAGTGGAGAAGTTAGTTAAGGAGAACGAAATTCTCCGGGTAACTGTTCAGACACTGCTAGGGCAGTCCCGAGCACGCCGGGATGTTACTATTATTTCCTGCATAGGTTTCGTATGTGGCGTGGCCGCCATCTTCCGTGCGATGAAGTGAGCGTCTGTAGTAGAGTAAGAAATATTCTACAAAATTATATGTAAGGTTTAGATGTGCTTGTCCATGTCACTACTAGAAAGTCTAATTATGTTTGCTTGAATACGAATCCTACTAAGTAAGTTTAATCTCAATGTCTGAGATGTAATCAAATCTCATAGACTCTGGTGTTGGTTGACATAACATGGTTAACGCGCATAATAAAGCTCCACTAGAAATAGTATAAGTCTAATAAAAATTATAACGCGCTATAGAAAATATTAAAGCAAATTTCAAAGATAAAGGTCTAACATTAGACATAAATGTTCAAAAGGGCCTAATAGATAACGGGGTAGGCAAAGTTCGAAATATTATAAGTTCAAAAGAGGGTACATAAACCAACATATGGCACTCAAGCCGCACCAAGGTCTCCGAAACAATGTTCGTACATCTCAACAACAAGCTGCTCAGCACGCTGACGCATATCACGCTCAGTTACAAGATAAACCTTGTCAAGCCCTCCAGTTGCATGTGCTTCGAGGAAAAGAAGCGACAACATACCGCTATTGGCTACATCAGAAGCCTGGGCAACATGCGTGTTCCTATCAAAGGTAAGCGGGTGGAGAGGAAAGTTTTTGGTGAGCTCATTGTCACCAACCTTGCGCACGAGATAGGGAAACATTTGACAGATAAAGTCAAGCTCCGGCTTGAGACGAGTTCCTCTGCGAACCGCAGCGGTTGGATCAAAAACTGTAAGAGTGTGGGAGGGCAAGTGAACAAGAACTCCAACCCAGCGGTTCTTGTCAATGTTGAATGGAGCAAGAAGCGAGTCAACATGTGACAGCCACGACCTGCCTGTGAGTTTGAACCTAGAAGAAACGTCAGCTAAAAAACTTTCTTCAAACTCAAAACTGGATTTGCACTTGCACTTCTTAAATTTTCCATGGACCGAAGCAAGGGTCCCGTAAAACTTGCAAGGCAGCAGGTCAGCTCTAGGATCAGTGTCAGGATCGGTGTTTTGAAAAAGAGAGTCACGTAACACACTAACACATGCGTCCATCACCTGCAAATGATAGAGATGATATTATGAAAACAACATAAGGGAGGAACATAACAATATGAAATGATCATAACCTGCGGGGTATCAGGAGGAATGACAGTGGGGATTGATAAGAGCTGGCTGTCCTTGAGGACCAATCCTTCACCAAAAGAAAATTTCCTGCAAGAGTGTTTAAGATGACTCATATTTACTTTAAAATATATACATAGCAGCTCACACATACAAGTAGACAGAAATGTTAAAAAATATAGGGTTATATAGTCTATCTATGTGATAAATAACAGTTCAAGAATAAAATTAGATATAATAAAAAAATAATGGAAGAAGGTAATCTATGTTAATAACTCTCTATTGGTTAGATTAAGATATTAGAAACCCTTACATTGTCGGGGTAAGAGTGACCATAAGCTTCTGGAACTTCTCAGACATGGGTGCAATCCCATGCTCAGCGCCACCCTGCACAGGAGATGCAACATCTCCAGCAGTATCCACCTGACAACCCGTATCTTCATCAGAAACACGAGTCCTGCTGCTAGCTTCAGTAGTACCAACTGATGAATCACCCTAACAAATAAAAAAATGAGTCAACCCATACTGACCAACTAACAGATAAATGAAAAAGAATTACCTCAGGACGAGACACGTTAGCAGGAGGGACAGTAAGTTCTTCACCCATGCCGTCTCCATTGGAGGTACCATCTACTAACGGCTGAGCATGAACCGCTGTCTTGTTAGCATTAGGATGGTTATGGGTAGGGTGTAGACTGGGTGAGGGCTGGGAACGATGTTGTTCATACCCATATGCAAGGTCTCCCAAAACATTATCAACCACGCGCGCACTAAGCGCCGCAGATACAGCAGCACAAACATTCTCTTTCAAACAACGCTCCAACCTTAATTCCATAGCTTTCATTTCAACACAGACAGTAGCATATACATCACTCTGACCTTCCCGCAGACCATCTCTAATTAGTGCTGACACAGATTCCAGAATACTGGTAGTAGGTTCAGGCGGAGGGCATCTAGTGCGCCCGCCACTACGGGCCTTGGATTTCTTGGCTCGCGAGGACTCCGCTTTAGATGCAGTACACTGAGACGTTTTGGAACGGGTTTTTCTTTTACCATTAGTAGTCACGCGAGGCGGCGGATCCACTTGGACATCAGAACCCCTAACTCCCCCTTGAAACATATCTCTCCGGAACTGGACTCCATCAGCAATTTGTCGTAACATCAAATCTACAGCAGGATCAGAAACCTCATCAGACCAGCTGCAATCTTCCAGGCCAGCGACAGCGTCGTCTGAAGGAATGATAGAGAGGACTTCAACCTAACAAGGATAGTAAGCGTTCCCAAATTTAAAAAAATGAAATAAACATATATACTGAAAAATAGACATCTAAAACATGTAAATAGAGGCTAATGTAAAAACGTGAACATCTACATTACCTTGCCTTTACCATCCAAAAGCCAGACAGTATCCAAATTCAAAGAAATGACAGGGAAAACATCCTCATCACCGGATTCTGGATCGGTGCAATCACCGACTGCTGACACCACGGCAGGGACAGCTTCAACAAATGTAAGAACCAAAGCATGGATAAACCCTTGAACTGCAACAGTCGATTGCGCAAGCTGACTTAAAGATCGGGACTTTATGCACCGCATAGTCATATCGAAACTGTATCGCCCCCATGGATAAGCCAAAAAAGTATCCAAGTCGCGTATCAACTCGGCATGGGACCTAGGGATCTTCATGTGGTATGAGCGCCGACCCAATAAGCCATCTACCAGAAACAGGCAAGCATATTTAACCCTCAATTCGCTTGTCAGAGCCTTTGGCCGCCGCAACTTCGCTAACAACATCTCGCCAGTGAAGTTTTCTTCGCCGCCAAAAAGAGTAAACCAATAAGGAATCACCCCTGGAGGACACTTAGTTAGAGACCGGTCAATAGGAGGGATAGGGTTACAGTTAAGCCCAGTGACGAGGCCAAACTCTCTAAGGGAAAACCGAAACGGTTTTCCGGCGAACACGACCCAAATTTCATGGCGCTTGACCACATTAAGCTGGCGAGTAAGGAGAAAATGAGCCAATTTTCCAGAAAATACGGGCTTCGAATACACATCAAGCAACTTCCCAAAACACGGTCGAATTAAATCGAGTTCTTCCGGTTGTAAAGCTTTGAGTACTGTCTTAATGGTGTGGAGCTTGAAGTACTGGTTCACACGATCTCCAGCAGGCTCTTCGCAATCGGCAAATAACCTACTCGGAAGATCTACATCCGCCATATTCCTGAGACAAAGGTTAAGATCTACATAAGTTTATGTTGGTATAATGGAAAAAATAACATGCAATAAAATAAAGTACAGATCTACAATTTCCTGTAACAGTCCACACTAGATCTAACCAAAAAAAATAGATCAAGGTATGGATTTGCGCATAAAACGGGAAAAAAGGGTTTGTGAAGGTTCATTAAAATCGAAAAATAACGCCGAGAGATTTGAAAAGCGAACGCTTTAGACCAAGAATACAGCCGAAAAAAACCACTCAAAAGTTACAGAAGATGGAACGGCGGGGAAGCGGTGAGATAGAAAAAAAAAATGGAATCACCGCATGTTAACAACAACCTGGTTACCGTCGCCGTATATCAGAATTTGAGGCTACCGGCGATAATAGTGTAAGCAGTGGCGTCTGGGAGCATATGCAGAAGAGAGAGAGAAATAAACTGAGGAAGAATGAAAGAGAAGACTAAGAGACTAAGGGTTTAGAGAGAGAAAGGGCGGGATATGAAGAAGATGAGAGTTGAACACGCAAGCGTCAGGATCTAAAGATTGACATTATGACCTCGATAACCACAACAAAAGTTGCGCTTGTCTGGAGTAATTGGGCCGAATCAACAGGGCTACTATATGAGCGCGTGAGGACAGAATGGGAATAATCGTGGGCTAAGTTTTACTAATGTCGTCGACAATTTCCCATAACCCCGAAAATTTAATTTGGCCCAGATCGGTTACCTTACACCCAATTATCTCTTTTTTTTATATGACTAAGTTTCGGTCAATGGTCAACGACGATTATTTCTCTCTCTTCCATGCTAATTAACACCTTCGTGACCAAGTCTCTTTCTATTTCTCTCGTAATTTTTAGTCAAATTCACGTCGGTGCCCAAATTACCTTTCTTATCAATTTTTTTTTCTTTCTAATGGCTTTTATTAAATTGCCATAACGAGATTTGAATAGAAAGGTTGGACTCGGTGATCACGTGAAATCTTTTTACCTTTGAATAGTGAACTGTATTGTGCGCCGTCCATTGAATATAACAGTTGTGTCACATTACTGATTTATTCATTGAAAATATGTAATTACTGTTTTTTTTAAAACACAAATATATGGGCATGATGATTCCAAGATTTAAAATAAAATAAAATTAACTGAAAATCTATTAACTAAACTAATTAAAACAAAGCGTACATGTGTCTGCTGCAAATATTCGTAGACAAATGGTAAAAACATTTTTCAAACCTCATTAAGGATATGAAGAACATGGATTACTAGCTAGTTCCCATAACTAAAGATTTTTATATGGTTTAACATCAAGTTTAGTTTACACCTTGATTTCAACAAAGAATAAAGTTAATTTTACACGCTAGAAGAAAAATAGCATAATACTAAGAATTTAGACGAAAATTGAGTAGTAAGAATTAGGGAATTAATCTTTTGTTTTTGTTAAAGGAATTAGTCATTTCTGGTCTTCATACCAATTAATTCGATCAACTATGCATGTATCAAATTTATTAGAATCATACAGATTTAGATCTTTGCATTCGTTACTAATTAATTAATTTCGAAGTAGAAACCAACAACCTTATAAGAACCTGGTCAATGTTATAGTCTATGGATAATTATTCAAATTTTAATATATATGAATAAGTAAACTAATGGTTCAAACTTGATGGGATGGTACTATATTCGTGAATCCGAGTCAATAGATTCGAATAAGGAATTAGAGTTGAAACATATGCCTTTCAAGAAAATCTATCCATTTACAGGAGGAATTTAGGTATTGACATAAATGATAAATTATACTACTATATAGTTAGTACATTTACTCTATTGCAAAAATAAGCTTCGTTCATACTTTTATGATTGTTGTTAATTCACCCGAATCGTTTTCAAACGTCATAAGAAAAAGTCAATAATATTTCTGTAGACCTGGCAAATTAATGTATTGTATTCATTTAAGGAAAGAGGAACAATTAAATACATGATTTTAAGGAATCATATACCCCTTTTTATAAGATTCAAGCATCATATACAATACGCAAGTGTGTACGTATAAATAATGATGGATAGATGATTGAAGTTACGGAAGAATTGACCTTAACTCGTCATAGGAACACAAATAACTTCCCTCGTAAGAATCACTCCCGGTGTCGCCCTTTTTTGACTTGGCAAGCCAATTTGTCACTGTATTTTCATTTCGTTTGTTTACAATACAATATTACAACTAAAAAGAATAACATTAACGTAGCTATAGTATTGAGTGATAACTGTTTAAGGCAATATAAATTTACATTCACAAAACGAATCAAAAGAAGAATCAAGGATATTATAGAACGTTGATAATTCAAATATTGCAGACACATACCAAGCAATATGGAATGCTACACAAAATCAGTGTGGTAGTCAAAACCATGGCCGCCGATCCTCAATTTTGTAGAGTCCATTAGGCAAAAATAAAATAAAAATTAGGAGCTATTTTCAGAGATTTGAATCTTTTCAAAGTTGACAACAAATATTTGCTACATTTATTTTTCAACAATAAGACTTAATGTACGCTTTCAAATTGTAAATTTATTTTTAAAATGAATATTTGCATATGAATCTGATTAAAGTCGATGAAACGTATTCAATCAATTTGATCGGGAACTGAACATATCTATGGACCACCTAACGTCAACGAGTTTTTGACCAGCAATTTATACACCTAATAACTACCATAAGGCACATATTCAATGAAAATTTTACCAACATTCCAATCATGAAACCCATCCGGGTTTCTTCTTTACGTACTCATATTTACTTTCATACAGTATAGTCAAATGATTGAAAGATTTTATGAAAAACAAAGGCAACACAAAAAATAATTTCGGCGGTATAGTTAAAGAACACGCGGCGAAGAAGCACGGCACTCCGACGTTCAAATTATACGTCAGCTAATATAGTCAGACACGTGGCATGTCACCAAGAAAGAAGAGCATACGTATGACGTACCGATTGTCCCTGAGTCACCACGTCGAACACCCACGTGGCAGCACAAGCAAAACCAACTCCGAATCAAATCGCAACCATATATAGAGCGAGCTACTATAGTCTTCTTCGTATCATCATCAAGTCGTACGTTGTGAGGTTGTTTGGTTTTTACTGTCTAGCGTTTTAATAAACTTTTGTTGCAAGCAAGTAAAGAGCCATGGCGTCTCAACAAGAGAAGAAGCAGCTGGACGAGAGAGCGAAGAAGGGAGAGACAGTCGTGCCAGGTGGCACTGGAGGCAAAAGCTTCGAAGCTCAACAACATCTCGCTGAAGGTCTTTCTTTCTCTCATTCATGGTTACTTTTGTCTCAAGTTATGTATATAAACTATAGTAATGAGATTAATATAATGTTTGTGGAATATTTATTATATGAAGGGAGGAGCCGAGGAGGGCAAACTCGAAAGGAGCAGTTAGGAACTGAAGGATATCAGGAGATGGGACGCAAAGGTGGTCTTAGTACCGGAGACAAGCCTGGTGGTGAAAACGCTGAGGATGAAGGAGTCGAGATAGACGAATCGAAATTCAGGACCAAGACCTAAATCGAACTCCCCACGGATGTAATATTAATCTGGTTTAAATCTTTTCGTGTAGTTGTATGTTGTGTTTAGTTTCCTGTGGTACGTAAGTTCTTGTTTAGTTTACGGGATGATGATGACCATGTGTATGTTTTCGTCTACGTAAAGTGTTTCGTTTGTGTTCCAGTACCCGTCTCTCTTCTTTAGTAAGAAGTTGAATATTTTGGAATCTCAATATAGTGTTGTTGGAGTCGTGGTGAGTGAAATTTTGAAGTTCAAGTAAAAACAAGATCGTACAAGATTTAACTCCCAAGTAGAAACAAGAAGGTACTAAAACAACCTGAAAGAGAAATTCTTCGAGAGAGATTTAGCTCCCTAGTAATTAGTAAAAACAAGAAGTAAATTAAAACAACCTGAAAGAGAAATTCGTCGAGAGAGATTTAGCTCTCTCCACGACTAGAATAAGAAATGTCAAATTGTGGTAATTGAACATCCAAAGAAAAGTACGCATTCGAAAACTATTATTCAATGTTCTTAGATGGATAAGGAATATTCTCACAACTGTTATTTTATAGCATAACGTTCAATTTTGTTTTACTAAACGGTTTAATGCGTTATAAAATCACAGATAACGGTTTCAATAATTTGGTATTAAATTGCATCTACCCGCAATTTGGCCGTCGATGTAACATTTGTTGCCCAAAAAAAAAAAAGAAATTTGGTAAGACACGACCGGTTCAGCAGTAGTCTCTCTCTCGACTAAACCGATTATCCCAGGTTTTTAATTAAAAATCGGTTTAATAACAAACCGGTTCACAAGAATGATCTCTAATTTCTTCACCGTCGCTCTCTCGTCTTTCCTCCGGCGACTTTTCACGTTCCCGTTGAAGTCGATGTCTGGTGTTTTGTTAGTTAGAGAGCTTTGTAAATTTTCAACTTTATCACATTCAATCGAAAAAAACATCAACTTTTGTAGATAATATACAGAGAGAGCAACTCGTTCCATGTATCAGGCAATCCCGGAAGACACCAATGATAACAATCAGCAAAAGTTCTCGGATCCAATTTCTGCTCCGGAGTTATGAGTTTCCCATTTCTCGAACCGTAAAATGTGGTATGCCCATCTTTTCTATACTCTGACATCGTCGTTATGTTGAGGAAATGTATAGGCACTTTTGTTGATTTCGTCACATTCACTGCGATTTCGTAAAGTCTTCGATCTGTTCCAACATCTATTGGTCTTGACATGTTTAGTATTGGTTCTGTCTCTTTTTCGCACTTGTTTCCTTCATTGAATCCCCAATCTGAACTTCTGTTGTAATTGAAAACGATTAGTCTCTGCAAAGTTTTGATTTTTATGGGTGTTTGATGATTTTGTACCTGATATGAGTTGGTGACATGCTGCTGAAGAAGATAGATGTTTGATTTGGGTTGATGTTTTGTTCTAGCCAATTTGTCCATGTTGATAACACTTGTTCGTATACGATTTCGATTTCGATTTCATCGTAGTCTTTTGAGTCTCCTTTGTTGATAGATTCTTGTTTGCTTCATGCATCAAAGTAGAAAGTTTTATCAAGATTGGCAATTTGAAAGTTTGGAACTTGGTAGAGAGATTGTCAATCACTTACAGAACTTTGATCTTGGAATGTCTGGTCCACCATATGTAGGTGTTGAATACAAGGTAGTCTGCGTCTTTCCAGTTCTCGCCGTGTTTCGATATTGATTGCGGCATGATTACTGGATCGGTCTTCCCATCTCTATTGTCTGGAGGATCAGCATTTGATTCGACTAAGAAAGGTGCCCAGTAAGTTGCTATGGTCGCATTGTACTCCTACACATTCAAAATAGTAGAGAAGGTAAGATTTGGAGTTCTTTTGCTTCTTGTGCATTATTACTTTTTTTGCATATAAGATACCTCTATGTTGAACATTGACATTTGTGCTGTGTGTTTTAAGGTCTTTTTTCCTGAGGGAATGATGGATTGGACCATACAAACAATGGATTGCCATTGATGGTTATGTATTGAATCACCAACGAACATCAGTTTCTTTCCCCTGAGTTTCTCTAGTAGCAGCTTTCCATCGAACCTAGAAACCGAAAAAAGAAAGTATTTTGAGAGAAGAAGAAAATGTTACTCATTTTGCTTATCTTTGTTCTCAGAAACTGACCTTGGCAAAGAGCAATCTCGAGGTTGCCATCTCCATTTCTGGTACTTAGAGTCTGGTCTCCCGTTTCTCGTACATTCCACCCACTCTGAGAGAAACTCACATTCATCTTCTTTGTATAAAGGATGTGTGACGTTATCAAGAACCCATTTTCCTGTGAAAACATCACAGACTTCTAGAGGAACAAGATCAGTCTTCTTGTCTTTATCTTCTTCGCTTTGTTGTGGTGGACTGATGTGTTCTTGCAGTTGCAGGTTATGTGTCTTGAATTCCTGAAACGGGCCAATCCTCAGCTGCTTCTCGTTGAAAAGATAGGATCCGAGAAGGAATACGGGTAGAAGAATGACTGCAAAGTATAGCAGAGAAAGGTAAGCTTTCCTTTCTCTGCCATAAATTTGTTTCATATCGTTATGTCCGGTTTCTGAAGATATGAGAAAAATGGTTTTGACAAGTATGAATGTTGGATCGTAGTTGGTCTATCAAAAAGTCTGTAGTTTCAACTAATTCAACACATTTTTACAATCATGGAGCTGATAATACACAGCTACTAATCTTGTCATTTATTGAAATTATAATATGTATGTTCCCAAGGGCGGATCTACAGGGCACGTGCCCTAGGCTACTTCTTGAGAATTAATTATCTAATAAACCATTGTTTATTTAGAATCTTTAGCTCATTGGTAATGAATACCCCATGTTAAATCTTGGGTGTGAAATTGGAAGTCTTTCGTTGCATTTTCTTTCTTTTATTTTTTTTTATTGTTTGCCATGTTCCACGTTTTTTTTAAGGTCTTCTTACATGTTTTTATTCTTTTCTATGATTAACTGCATTTTTCTTAAGTATATTAGAAACCAAGAAAATAATTTTTATAGAATTTTTGGTCTCCTTTTGGAATTCAAGACTGAAAATATATTTAGTCAATACATGTTTTTGATTTGTGCCCTATATAAACTATTTTTCTGGATTAGTGTTCCCTGTGACATGTGCATTTTATTCAACAAATTTGTAGCCTTAATTCCCAAAACATTCTATGATATACTTGGCTCCCACTTCAAATCCCTTGAATCTTTGTCCTATAATCATCACAAGAATTTTAAAAACCCCAAAAAAAAAAAATGATGAAAGAATCTAAATAATTTCATTTTTGAGAAATAATATGTGTATAGAGAAACTCATTCCAAGTATCAGGGAGGCCTGGTAAGCACCAGTGTATGCAATCAGCGAAATTGGCTGGATCGGATTGCTGCTCCCGCGTTAGCAATTTCCCTTGCTTGATCGTGTAAACTGAAGTATGTGCATCTTTACGATACTCGGACAATGCAGTGATGTTGAGGAAATGAATAGGAACTTTGAAAGACTGCGTAACGTTTTCCACCACCGAAAACAGCCTATAGTCCGTTCCCACCGCGGAAAACAGCCTATAGTTAGGTCCCACGTTGAAAGACATGTTTAAGATTGGTGTTGTCTCTAAAGCACACATTATACCCTCAGGATTATCCCAATCTAAGCTCCTACAACAAAAACAGAATTAACAATCAAATATAAACATTTATATACCCAAAAAAAAATTATGTATGGGAGAAATTTATTACTTGATGTGAAGAGGAGACATGCTCATGAAGAAAACAGTTGTACTTAGAGGATCAATATTATGGTCTACCCAATCTCCCAATGTCCTCAACATCCTCTCGTATGCTATTGGCCGTTTGATCTCATCATACTCTGTGTCCCCATCATCGAACGATCCACGTCTGTTTTCATCACCATAATCTTCAATCCTCAGCCATTCATTACATGAGTATGTCTCAGTGTGTATACTATAACATTATACTTACAGAACTTTGATGGAGACAGTGTTCATCCACCAGATGTAACTATTGAAGACAAGAAAGTCAACACCTATCCAGTTGACTCCATGTTTCTCGATAGACTCTGGCATTATTATACGGTCGATTATACTGTGCTTTCTCGGATCGTCTGAATTTGATTCTACCAAAAATGGCGCCCAATAAAACTCCACCGTCGCATTATAGTCCTATTTTTTGAATTTCAGTTTTGCATATCCCAAGAAGGTAAGAAATTGTAAATAATGTCATTACATAGGGTGGGGATAAATAACCGAACCGAACTACCTGAATCTAACCGAAATTATCCCAAAATAACCGAGAAAAACCGGATTTTAAAAAAAAAAATCGGTTTTGAAATTAACAGAGGAACCAAAATAAAATTCGGTTAATTTCGGCAACATTTTCGAAACTCAAAATAACCGAACTAACCGGACTAACCAAAATCCCAGGGCTAGTCATTTGTGTCACTGTCACACAGGTGCATTAATATCATTATTACCTGAATTTTGAAAACAGTGAGAGAACCGGTCTGGTTTAAGCTCTTTCTACCGGGAGGAATCACTGATTGAACCAAACAAACCATTGATTCCCATTGGTTCCGGTTTAACGAGTCACCAACAAACATCAATCTCTTGTTCCTCAGCTTGTCTAGCAACACCCTCGCTTTGAATCTTCACATCAAACCAACCATAAAACACACAATTATTAAAGAGAAAATCAACCAAACCCAATAAAAACAGAGCATCTTGAAACAATATAGCTTTACTTTGGCAAAGAACAGTCTCTAGGTTGCCATCTCCAATTCTGAAACAGAGAATCTTTCCTTCCGTTTCTTAAGCAAGTCACTTGCTCCGTCAAGAACTCACACTCTTCTTCTTTATACAATGGATATGTCTTGTTGTCGAAAACCCATTGACCGGTGAAGAGATCACACTCCTCCGGCGGCAACTCCACAGATGAACTAAAGAATGGGTTCGAAGATGTGAAATCAGCAATGGAGGATTTGAGGTTGTCATTGTACATGAAGATCCCCAAGAGGAAAAGAGAGAAGACGATTACGAAGATTGAGAGATTACTCTTCTTTCTCTGCTTCATGATCACTCCTGTTCTTGAAGGTTGCATGATCTGATAAAGAAGAAAGAAGAAGGCCTTGGTGAACAGTTATGTAAGTGTCGGCATGTGGCTGGGAGAGACAACACGAAGGAAAGAGAGTTAATCATATTCATAAAGGAGAAAAGAAGATGGGGATTATTAAAGATTGAGAATAGTGAGTTAAAAGAGCCAAACCTAATTGGTGGACACAGAATTTTCTATAATTTTCCTTTTTTTCCCTTTAGAATTTTAAATGTAAAAGTCTCTCTTCACATTTATAGACTTAACTAATTGTGGAGTTTGGCAAAGAAAGAATAAAGTTAGCCGTTTCTTTTTAAATTGATGAATTAAAGTATGAAACTCGTCTCAAATCTCAATTATATTCCTACATAATGTAAAAACGAAGAGGCAACATCAGATTTCTAAACTATTCAAGGCCCAGGAGATTCATATAAAAGCTGCTTCCGTAAGTACAACAATCTTAACTTAAGAAAATCGTTATTCCCTGCTTAAGTAACTTAAGATTCAAGGTTCACTCTATTCTACTTCTCTTAGCGTTCTTCTTGTTGGTTAATTTCTCTACCTTTTAGGATTTCAAATTACTTTACAAATATATTCTTAACCGAAAGCTACATTAGTAGATACACATGTGTGTGTTCTCATATGTAGTGATTTGATGCATATGATTTAGGGAAATGGTGCAGCGATTCCACCAAGATCAAAGAGGATAAAAATAAAAATGATTCTCAAGTTGTAAGCGAAGTCGATAGTAAGCGTAGTCTTTGAGGTAGATCCATGCCACAATTCAACTCCGATGAACAAGAGATCTCTCTCAAGTATTCTAGATGAGTTGTTTAGTTCACATTAAGGTTCGGTTAGTTTTCCATATATCATTCCTCTGGAAGTTTATAGAACCAAGTATTGTGTACCAAGGCATAATTTTGTAGCCGCCATGATGCAACCGATGAGCTAAGAGATGTGAAAGAGATATGTAAAATATGTTGAACTCGAAGTGTTAAGAAACCTTTAAAGCCATTGGAACTTGAGTATACGCTGGATTAGAAAGAAATTTCTGAAATTTCATAATTGGAGTAGTGGAGGAAGAGATATGGAGATGGAACTCATACAATGGCACTTGATCAATAGGCTTGATTACCGTCTTCAATAATTTATGTTTTATCACATATGCTTGAATTGTAGTCCCTAATCCATTGATGCGTATTAATTGTGTAACTTACTTATATATACGTATAACAAACTTGATATTAACAATATGTGTTAATGTGTATAACTTAAAAATGAACATATTCCTTACATATATAACTAAGAATAAAAATTTAAAAATGAAAATTTCATAGAAAGGTAAGCTTTCCTTTCCCTGCCACCGATTTGTTTCATATCAATATGTCCGGTTTCTGGAGATATGCGAAAAAATGGTTTTGACAAGTATGATTGTTGGGTCGTAGTTGGTCTATCAAAAAGTCTGTAGCTTCAACTAATTCAACACATTTTTACAATCATGGAGCTGACAATACATACCTACTAATCTTGTCATTTATTGAAATTATAATATTTATGTTCCCTGTGACATGTACACTTTATTCAACAAAACATTCTATGGCATACTTGACTCCCACTTTAAAACCCTTAAATCTTCGTCCTATATAAATCACAAGAATTGTTTTAAATCAACAAAAAAGGACGAAAGAATCCAAATAATTTCATCTTTGAGAAATAATATGTGTATAGAGAAACTCATTCCAAGTATCAGGGAGGCCTGGTAAGCACCAGTGTATGCAATCAGCAAAATTGGCTGGATCGGCTTGCTGCTCCCGCGTCAACAATTTGTCTTGCTTGCTCGTGTAAACCGAAGTATGTGCATCTTTACGATACTCAGACAATGCAGTAATGTTAAGGAAATGAATAGGAACTTTGAGAGACCGCGTGGCCTTTTCCACAACCGAAAACAGCCTATAGTCCGTTCCCACCGCGGAAAACCGACCGTTGAAAGAAATGTTCAAGATCGGTGTTGTCTCTAAAGCACACTTTATACCCTCAGGATTACCCCAATCTAAGCTCCTAAAACAAAAACAGAATAACAATCAAATATAAACATTAGATACAAAAAAAAGTTATGGATGGGAGAAATTTATTACTTTCTATGTAGAGGAGACATGCTCATGAAAAAAACAGTTGTACTTAGAGGATCAATGTTATGGTCCACCCAATCTCCCAATGTCCTCAACATCCTCTCGTATGCTATTGGCCGTTCGATCTCATCATACTCTAAGTCCCCATCATCGAACGATCCACGTCTGTTTGCATCATCACAAATCGTCAATCCTCAGCTCATTACATGAGTGTTTGTGTCAGTTTGTATACTATAACATTACTACTTACAAGACTTTGGTGGAGTCACTGTTCATCCACCAGATGTAACTATTGAAGACAAGAAAGTCAACGCCTATCCAGTTGACTCCATGTTTTTCGATAGACTCTGGCATTATTATTCGGTCGGTTATACTGTGCATTATCGGATCGTCTGAATTCGATTCTACCAAAAATGGCGCCCAATAAAACTCCACCGTCGCGTTATAGTCCTAATTTTTTTTTAATCCCAAGAAAGTAAGAAACTAGTATAAAATAATGTCATCAGTGTCAGTGTTAGGCTGTAACACAAGTGTTTTACTTTACCTGGATTTTGAAAACGGTGAGAGAACCGGTCTGGTTTAAGCTTTTGCTACCGGTAGGAACTTCTGATTGAACCAAACAAACCATTGATTCCCATTGGTTCCGGTTTAACGAGTCACCTACAAACATCAATCTCTTGTTCCTCAGCTTCTCTAGCAACGCTCTCGCTTTGAATCTTCAATCAAACCAATCATAAAATACACAATTATTAAAAACACCAAATCGATCAAACCACAAGAAAACAGAGCATCTTAGCTTTACTTTGGTAAAGAACAGTCTCTAGGTTGCCATCTCCAGTTCTGAAACAAATAATCTTTCCTTCCGTTTCTTAAACAAGTCAGTTGTTTCGTCAAGAACTCACACTCTTCCTCTTTATACAATGGATATGTATTGTTGTCGAAAACCCATTTACCGGTGAAGAGATCACACTCCTGCGGTGGCAACTCCACAAATGAACTAGAGAATGGGTTCGAAGATGTGAAGTCAACGATGGAGGATTTGAGGTTGTCATTGTACATGAAGATCCCCAAGAGGAAAAGAGAGAAGACGATTACGAAGATTGAGAGATTACTCTTCTTTCTCTGCTTCATGATCACTCCTGTTTCGAAAAGTGGAACTCTTGTTCTTGAAGGTTGCATGATCTGATAAAGAAGAAAGAAGAGGAACTTGGTCAACAGTTATGTTAGTGTCGGCATTGTGGCTCGGAGAGAGAGAGAGAGAGTCAGAGAGATTCTCATATAGGAGAAAAGAAGATGGGGATTATTAAAGATTGAGAATAGTGAGTTAAAAAGAGCCAAGCCTAGTTTTGAATCTCAAAATCATCTATTTTAATAATACGCATAGGTGATCAGCATTAACGCACATCGATAACATCAGAAAATTAAAGATTTTATGCGACATTATCACATGGTATGGATTTTGTATGTAATATAAAAAATAGACCACATGTTACCGGCTCTTCTTAACTCTTCTATTAACGATGCTACTCTACTGATTTTTTTTCCTAGATATCCGGAAAGAAGAAAGATAGTGCACTGATCTTTTATTCTTTTCTACAACAAACCAGTTATGATTTTTTACTTTTTAGTGTCCTACATGATAAATTGTGGACAAAATTTGATTTTGGGTAGGTTTCTTTGTAATCAGGGGTCTTTAGTGGAAATTTGTGGCAGAGCTTTTTGAATCTGGATAAGAAAGTTTTTTCAATAAGTGACAATGTGTATGTGAGGAAAAAAAAAAACTTAAAAGCTCCCCAAAATCTCTTAGGCCCAATTTGTCTAAAGCACTTGAAATATAACCAGTAAGATTAAGATATCACAACAATTACAAAGCTATTAAGATCCTTCAATGAACATTTGAACTCATGCGTCAATTATTTGCTTTTAATCATTACATAGTGTCACTAAGGACAAGAGAATGACAAAAAAAAAAAAAAAAAAGAACAAGAGACATATACTACTGTAGTACCAAACTATGGGTCAAACACAAATCAAAGAATTATAGCCAGATTTGTTAGATTCTGTGTAGAGAGGCCCAGAAGATAAAAGCAATAAAAATCCCATCTTTCTTTCTGCTTCTTATGCCACAATCTGCTGCTCATGGTCTATGTACATTTGCTCTGCCCACGACGGCAGCTTAAACTGGTCTCTACCCGCTGCACCGTTCACCGTGTTCCCGACCCTCTCATTCAACCCGAAGGCTCTCTCCGGTGCATTCTCTTTCACCAGTGAGTTCACCCACGACACATCTGGCTCGTCGCTGTAGTCTCTCGCAGGGCGAGACACACTGTTGTTGTTTCCGTTAATGCCAAAGGAGGCGCTTCTCCTCAGCTTGTTCAGCTCCTCTCTTTGCATTCCCCACTCGAGCTTCCCGTTTGGTGATCCCCAATCCGAGACATTAGAAGCTACTGGAGCTGGTTTGAAACTCAAGCTGCGTTTCGCAAACGCTGAGGATCTTGCATTCATCACTGCAGCTGCCATGGCTGCTGAAGATTCGAATCCGTGAGGAGGCGGCTGCCTCACTGGGGAAGACGGATAGTGGTTCATCTGAGAATGCCTGCTTGGTGATTGAAGTTGCATCACAGCAGATGAATCGTATGATCCGAAAGTCTCTTCGAGGTTGGATGGCTTGAGATCACCAAGTCTGCGGTTATCCAAACCGCGAAACCTAAGTTCCATCTCCATATCCATATCTCTAGCACTCAAAGTAGACTTCAGTCTGCTGCCATTAAGCTGCAACGGTGGCGGTGTAAGGCTATTAACTCTGTTCTGCCATAAGCCACCATTTCTTGGAGACAAAGGAACTCCATTAGCCATAGGCGAGTTCATAGGCGATGATCCCAGCGTCAAAGGAGACATGACCGGCATCTCAGGAGACTGATTAGACGACCTCGGTGAAACCATCGCAGAACCAGTAGAAGCATTAACCGGTCTTAACTCATCCAGTCTATGAGCAAAGAAACAGACTCTCCTTGCACAACCCGTCTCATCTTTACAAAGCCGGGTCCTATACTGCGCCGGGTGAAGCCAAGACTCGAAAACACCGTGTGCATACTCGCACGAATCTCCTTTAGGACAAGACCCTTTACGAAACTCGGGACAAGGCACACAAGTATAAGGATACTTCCTTGGATCTCTCCTCCTTGCATTCTCACCAGGATGAACAAAAGGACATTCAGTCCAATCATGTGAATAAGCCCTAGAACATGGCTTAACCTTAAAGCTAAACATCCTAAAATCATCAGTTCCATAAACACCTTCGTTAATATCAGGAAGTGATGCATCAGCTGGATACTTAGTCACAACACTCTTCACTTCTTCCTCCTCCTCTTCCATCAAACTAACCGAACCATGATTCCCGGTTAACAAAACCTCAACCGCCTTTCTACTCTGGTTAGGAACAAACCGGGAAGCTTTAACCAACAAATCAACCGGTTTATTCCCATTAGCGTCAACACAATTAGGTGAAGCAGAAGCATCAAGCAAGATCTTGATGATCTCAACGATAGAGACAGAACAGCCAGAAACTGCACAGTGAAGTGCAGTGACTTTCTCGTCACTACAAACTCTGTTCACATCAGATTTACCTGTGGCAATTATGTAATTTAACACCTCCATGCTTCCATACATAGCAGCAACCATAAGAGGTGTTCTTTCTTCGAAACCCATCTTCTTAGACCCGACCCGTCTACAATACCAAAACCCTGACTCGTCAATCTCCACCAATGATTTCTCTTCGATCTCTCTCTTAAACGATGAAAGATCGTCACAGGCAGCGAATTCGAGGAGACACGTGGCGGAAGCTCCGTCTTCTGATTTCTGCCTCATGAATTCGACTTCTGTTAGGGTTTTAGAAGAGCAAAGGTTGCTCTTTGCGCCGCACATCTCTTCCTGTGTGATTCAAAAGTGTAAAACTTTAGAAGAAAGAAACGCAAATAGAGTTTTTTTTATTCAAAGTTTCAATTTTTCATTACCAAGATTATTCTTTATACCCAAAAATTATGCCCCAATTTAAGAAAA